ATTCTGTTGTAGTATCCCCCTTTACTAATTTGTGATCTTCTCAGTATGCTTCCTTGCCCCCTCTGCCTCAGTTTACTCAGCTGTATAATATCAGCTTCATACAGCTGGTGTGTGGATCAAATGATTCAGGGTTAGGGTGGCAACATAGAAGCTGCTGTTGTACTAATATTCCAGAGCCTTCCTAGTGACGCAGCTCAGAGGTCTGATTATGGTGATTATAGTAAGGGCCCATAATAGTCCCAAGGCTACACAGCTATTACCAGCAGGTGTTGTGAGCTGAAGTCTAGTCTTCTGGGCCAAAGAAGTCTACATGTTCACTTGTGTTTTTGTTTTGTTTTATTGTGTTTTATTACCTCCTGCCTTTTGCAGCCTGGGGTACAATTTGTCTACCTCTTTTCTTTAATGCAGCCTAACTTCTCTCCTTTTTTTCTTTCCTTTTTGTTGAAATTTATTAATATTTTAAAAACTTTAAAACAGAACTATTATTATAATTAGTCTTTTTGAGACAGGATTTCACTGTACAGGTGAGGCTGGCCTTGAACTCACTTTTTAGCTCAGGCTGGTTTTGAATTTGCAATGATCCTCCTTCCTTGGTGAGTTCAAGACCAGCCTGAAATAGATTTTATTTAAGGAATCCCAAGTGCTAGGATTACAGCTGTGCTCGCCACCATGCCCAGTTTATTTTTTTAACTTTTTTTTGGTACTGGGGATTGAATTGAACCTCACGCTTGCCAGGCAGGTGCTTACACTACTAAGCTAAACCTGCAGTCCTTATTTTTTAACTTTAGTTGGTTTTTTTGTGACAGGATCTCTCTCTGGCTCTTTCTCTGTCTCTCTCTGTCCTTCTCTGTCTGTATCTCTCAATGTATACATAAAATCTATTTCAGGCTGGTCTTGAACTCTATATAGCCCAGGCTAGCCTGGAAGTTTGGAGATCCTACTGCATCAGCTTCCTAAATGCTGGGATTACAGGCACGGGCCATCATGCCTAGTTCAAAAATTAATTTTCCATTTACAGAAAAGTAACAAGACTAGTACAAAAAATTCCTAAATATGCATCACTGGTTCCCCAGATACTAACATTTTGTAACATTTGCTGTGTTGTTTGCTATAATTTTTTGCTGAGTCACTGGACAGTGAGTTGCAAACATGGCCTCTTTAAATCTTTTTGTGTATTCCTTAAAACTAGAACATTTTCTTATAAAACTTTAGTATATTTGTCACAATCAATAAGTGAACATTCATCTACTTATTTTCTAGTCTACAAATTTTATTTAGATGACAAATTTATTTTGTCAGTTGGCCCTATAATATCTTTTTTTTTTTTTTTTTTGTCTTTTTCGTTTTTATCGGTACCAGGGATCGAATTCACAACTGCCTGCTTGCAAGGCAGGCACTTATGCTGTTGAGCTAAATCCCCACCCCCTATAATATCTTTATTGAGGAAAAAAATACATAGCCTTTTTTTCTGGTCCTGCACATAGTCTAGAATCGCAAGTTGCAATTATTTGGTATCCATTCATTCATTCTCATTCAGGGGCTCTATGAATTCAGCATAGTCTTAAACTTAATGGCAATCTTGTTGGCTCAGCCTTACAAGTACTGGAATTTCAGGCATGTTTCACCATGCCTGGCATTTTTGATTTTTAAAACAAGCCAGATACTGTGGCACAAACCTGTAATCCTAGCACCCAAGGCAGCGAGTGGGGAGAATAGCAAATTCAAATCCTGCTTTGCCAACATAGTGAGATACAATGTTAAAGAATGAAAAGCCTGGCCCATTGTGGGGGCATATGCCTGTAATCTCAGCACTTGGGAGGCTGAGGTATAAAAACTGCTGGGAGTTTACCAGCCTGGACTACACAGTGAGTCCCAGGCCAACCTGTAACATAGTGAGACCTTGTCTGAAAAGAAAAAAGAAAAAAAAATAGACAAGCCAACAACAGTGGCACAAATCCGTAATCCTAGCATGCTGGGAAGCTGAGACAGGAGGATTGAGATTTCAAACCCAATTTAACTATTTAGTGAGCTCAAAATAAAATAATGGCTGGGGATGCAGATTAGTACAACAACCCTGATTTCTATCTCCAATTACTACCATCACCACCACCAGGGTTACTGGGACTGTTCTGAGTTCCGTACCTTAGTCCAAAATCAAAACAAAATAAAGCAAACAGCTATGAAATTAATAAGCAGTGTATTAAGTTTAGTGCTTTAAGTCAGTCTCATAACCTGTTTGTGTTCTCTGAGTCTTTATCTGGGATGTCAGCACTGCAGAAAGAAAGTAGGTTGGAGGGTGGGTCGGTGTTTCTTTCAAAATAAGACCTAGCTGGAAAATAGCCTTGAAAACTAGAGATCAAAATGCCAACCCTCAAGCCGGGGATGGTGGCACACATCTGTAATCCCAGCACTCAGAAGAGTGAGGCAGGAGGATTGTTAGGAGTTTGAGACTACAAAGTGAGCTCAAAACCAGCCTGAACTGCATAGTGAGATTCTGTCTCAAAAAGATAAACAACAAAAGCCAGCTCTTATCAGCTGATGCTTGCCTTATGTGCCTTACAGAGTAGCCACTGAGCAAGAGTAATGAATGCCTAACATGCTGTTCCCTCCCCCGCCTTGGAACAGCCTTTTCCCCTTGCCAGGCTTGAGCTCCAATCTTCACCTCTCCCAAGAAATCTTCCTTGCCCCCTTTCTAGGTAGAATTGGGAGCACTTGCTTAGTTGGAGTCCCCCCTTGTCTATGTATTGATAGAAAATGGTGTCATCAAAGTTTGGGTTATGATTTTCTTTTTTTCATTCTTGAGACAGGGTCTTACTATACAGTTAAGGGTGGTCTTTAACTCACTATGTAGCCCAGGCTGGTCTTCAGCTATCAGCAGTTTTCATGCTTCGGCCTCCCAAATGGTGGGATAGCAGGTGTGTGCTACCACTTTTGGCTATAATTTTCTAGTTCTGTAATCATCTCTCTTCTATGAATTTGTGAAATCCTTAACACATTTTCTTTTCTTTTTTTAAACACATTTTCTTTCATTCATTAGAGCTGAGACTTTCCTAACACTATTTTTTAGTTCAATAAAGTCATACAATATAAAACTCAGGCATTGAAGTCATAGTGTTTTATTTTTGAAGACTCACAATTTCTGTGATAATGTGGTTACCTACTAAAACAGTGGTTTAAAGATGAATATTAAAGGGAGTGTGTAGCTCAGTGGTTGAGCACTTCTCTAGTTTGTGAAAGGTCTTGGGTTCCATCCAAAGCAATGCAAAACCAACCAACCAACCAACCAACCAACCAACCAACCAATCAAAAATAACATAAAATCACCCTAGCTGTACCTCTTTTCTTCTTGGCCTCTGGGCTTTTACAGCCAAGGCTGAATGTGACCCAGATAAGCTTGGCTAGCTTGGGAGGAGGGAGGACTCACAGGACCGGACATGGGCCCTCTCTTATCTGTTTGGGAACTGTTGTGGGAGGATAGGCAGGTTTTATTCCATGCAGCTCCTACTCCTGCGTCCAGACCCAGGTCCATCCATATTCTCTAGTCTTACAACAGAAGTGCTCTTTTACTGTCTCCACTGATCTTCCACACTAATGTCCTTACTTACCCAAACAAAATGGCCTGTAGATATTCCAGTGGATGCACGTAATCTGAGAATTGATATTAAATGAAAATTCGTATTACTAACATTTATAAAGCACAAACTGTGCTGGAAATGCTCTGTATTTTATATACCTCCATGGTGATGGAGATGGAAGCCAGGGTCTTGCCCATGCTAGGCAAGTACTCCATCCTTGAGCTACACCTCAACCTATACACATCTCATTTAATTCTAACTCCTAGTAGAGTCAGTATTTGAATCTGGATATTAGTTTTGCTACTTATGAAACCCATTTAGCCTTTTGGAACTTTAATGTCTTGTATAAAATCAGGGTATCACACCTTGCCCTCAAAAATTCATGAATATCTTTAAATGATTGTGGATGTATTGTATCCATTCACTGTGATGCTGATATTACTACTGTTGCTAGAATCATTTGGTTATAGAAATCTCTGCTGTCCCCTTCCTCCCCCTCCTAAAGTATCTCCCCATGTGTTGATAGCCACTCCTGTTTCAGCTTCCCACTGCTTCTCTGAACTCTGAGCTTCAGTATCTAACCAGGCCCTGGAAGAAACCTGTAGTACCTTGCTCCACTCAATGCAAGTGCCCTCACCCTGCCTCCTGTCTAGCATTGTCTGATTTGTAATTAAATAGGTATTTGTGTCATTCTGTCTTCTTTACCTCCTGCCTCCATTGCCAGACTGGAAACTTCAGAGGTCAAAGATTTTGTTCTAGTTTTGATCACCATCAAATCCCTGCTTTGTTAGGGAAACTATAATGTTTGTTGAAGACACAATGAATGATACCTGTACAAAAACCAGTCGAAAATCTGAATCAACTCGATTCTGAGCAAATCAGTTGCTTTTTCTGAGTTTCAGTTTTGTTGACTATAAGTTGGTGGTGTCCTGCATTCTCCTAGCAAAACTGTAATGAGTAGTTAGGTGACCAGGAGTGGTGGTGCACGCCTATAATTCCAGCATTTGGGAGGTTGTCTGGGTGAGTTCAAGGCCAGCCAAGGCGACATAAGGAGACCTATCTCAATCAAAACAAACAAACAAAAAAAAAAAAGTAAGTGAGACCCTCCCTATTAAATCAAAACCAAGCCATGACAACAACAACAAAACCGAAAACTAGGTACAGGCTTTAGGAAATAGCCCAAGATGAATAAGAAGGTGCTTGTATCCGTGTACTTAATGAGAAGGCAGACTCAAGGTATAAAAAAACAGGGCTTTATGTAGTACTACGAAAAAAGTAAACGTTATGATAGCACAGGTTCATCACCGACACAATGTGTTTCTGAGGTGACTTTTAAATCTCTTCCCAGACCGCATACCACGTATCTTTGCCTAATGATCCATTGTAGTGGAAATTCATTATAAACCAATTTCCTTTTAGCTACTCCTACTGGGACTTTCTAACCCGGCCTTGCCTTCGAGGCGGATCGCAAGCTGCCTGAGTGGGAGGTGATTGGCCGTGGCCGGTCACGTGCCCAGCCGCCGGGACAGCCTGAGCCTCGCCCCGGTAGTCCATCAACGGCTGGGCTCCGCCCCCCGGCGCGCGGCCCAGCCGCTCTCTATAAAAGGAGCCGCCCGGGGATGACGAGCTCGTACGTCGGCGCGTCACGAGGGGGGTGCGTGTGAGGTCATCGCGCGGCTGGGCGGGCGGGGCCTGGCAGTTTGAACGAGACGAAGACGGAACCGGAGCCGGGCGCGAGCAGTAGACGCGGTTCCCCTGAGAGCCGGTGAGCTGGCCAGCGGGCCCGGGGCGGCGACAGTGGGGTGGCCGTGAGGGCCTCGGCTGGCCTGGCCCGGGCACCGAGCGGCAGCTCCGTACGTTGGTGCGGTTTGGGCCGGGTGGGGGGAAGGGCGGGGCCGTGACCCGGCGCGCGCGGGCTGGCCCCGGGGGGCGCGCGCTGCGCCCCAGTGGAGGCGGGGCCTGAGGCCGGAAGTAGGGGCTGCCCCTAGGCGGTTTGGGGGCTTCAGTGCTGCCGATGTGAATCTCACGTTCTCGCTGCAGGAGGTCTTTGGCTGGACCCAAGGGGGGTGTGTGTAAGCGAGCTGGGCCTTGTGGGGAGCTCTGGGGACCCACAGTGTAGGAGGCAGTGTTGCCTCGAGGGTGAGATTCAAGTTGTGGATTGAGACCTGAGTTTCCCTGTCATGCGACCTTAGAGGTGGGTGCTTTAACCTCGCTGGGCCTCACCTTCCGCATCTGTAAAATGGGGATAAGTACGCGAAGCGCGGTTTTTGGGAAAGTAAGTCAGCGAGCTGTTTGGATTTCTTCCTTTCGTTGGTGGGTGTCTGGCAGTGAATGCCTACTAGGTGCTAGGCATCGTGCTAATCGGTGCTACTCCTTAGCGGGAATAGGCAAAGACATGCTCTTCAGGAGTCTGCCTTTCCAGAGAGCTAGGAAATAAGATGATTACATAGACAAAATAATGTCTTTAGTGACAGGGACTACGGTATAACAAAGTGATATCTGTTCTTTTCCAGTCTCTGCTCAGCTGACCTCTGCCATGTTTTGGGGATGAGGCTGTTGAGGCCGTTTGAGGAACTTAGGCCAAGCCCTGGCATCCACCTCTGATGGGATATTTCTAAGAGCAGTAATAAAAGAAGTTCTTTGTTAACTGGCACTTTTTTGTGTTTCAGACATTGTGTTAAAAGATGGATGTAGTATAGTACCATTTACTATCCTCACTATCTTTTTTTTTTTTTTTTTTAATCGGTACCGGGGATCGAATTCACGACTGCCTCCTTGCAAGTCAGGTGCTTACGCCGCTGAGCTAAATCCCCAGCCCCTATCCTCACTATCTTTAAGGGATATTATTTTCATTTTATTATTAAATTTCTTTTGTGGTGCTCAGGCTCTCAACTAAGGCCTCATGCATGCTAGGCAAGAGTACTACTGAGGTATCCTAGCCCATCTTTTTGTAGATTTGAGTCCAAGACTTTGAGCAGTGAAGTGATTTTACTTACGCTCCCCAGCATATGTATGAACCCACATCTGTGGTGTCAGAGTCCAGGCTTTCTTTCTGTCCCCCCCACCCCCCATGCTGAAAATTGAACCCACTGGAGTCTTTTCACTGTTCCACATCCTCACCCCTTTTAAAATTTTTTGAAAATTTTGAGATGGGTTTTCACAGAATTGGGCAGGCTGAGCTCGAATTTGCATTTCTGATCTTCCTCCCTCATCATCCTACAGAGCTGAGATTACAGGCGTGTACCATCACACCCAGCCAGAGTCTAGGCTCTTAAACTTGGTTAGGATTTTTCCTTGAGGTTTACATTTTCATACAGGTGTTCCCTTTGTTGTGTGTCAAAGTACCTGGTGCAGTTTCTGCAACCTCAGGTCATTGCTGTGCGTTTCAGTGAACTGTTTATACTTAGATTTTCCTTTTTACTCCTAGCTATCAGTCTCTGTAGAAGACAGTGGTTTACCCATTTTACAGGTGAGCTGTTTATGATCACAAAGATGAAATGTCTTATCTGGCATCACATAGCTCTTTCTGGTGGCATTTTCCTCTTTCTCGTAGGATGTAGGATGGCACCTCTTCATTCAGAATTGGGTAAAAGTGAGTTAGAGAGCCTGCTAGGAGAGCTGTTAAGAGAGGGGTTGGGGTTGTAGTTCAGTGATAAGGTGCTTGCTGCAAGAGGTCCTGGGTTCAATCCCCAGCATGACAAAAAAGAAAAAAAAAAGATACCTGGGGAAACAAATAAGAAGGGCCTCTGTTACGGTGACTGAGTCCTGGGTCGGTGATCCCTGGGAAGGTGAAGTTTATGTAATAGGGGTTTTCCACTGAGCCTGAGCAGTGGGACTGTCGTTGAGAAAGGGTGAGTGGTAGTTGTAACTCCTGAGAATGAGACTGGTTTGATAGCTTAGAAGAGCCAGTTAATTGATTGAGTCCGTGGATATTTATTGTGCATCCATAGGGTGCCTAATCTCATTTACTGTATTTATTAGCTGCAGTTTATAAATCACATGGGACCAGGTATTAACATACTGCTAATGAAAGATCATTAATGTTTTTGAGCTGGGGCTTGGTTAGGAGGCACATGCGGCTTTACCAGCTGCTTGCATTTTATGATAGTATGACACATAATACCCGATACATATATGAATGTCACCAAGATACATTATAAGTGCTCAGGCTGGGACTATTTTTGTTTCTCCTTGATATCTAACATTATTCTGCACACAGTATGCATTTCATTTACTTATACATTCAGAAATTTTAACTTGATCTGGTCTGCTAGTCATAAATTCCTTATGGCTGCTATGTAAGAACAGATTGAAGTTGGATGTTGTGGTACATGCTTATAAATCACACCCCTCAGGAGATTGAGGCAGGAGGGTCACCTCTAGTTTGAGGCTACCCTGGGCCACAAAGTGACACTGTGTCCTAAAAAACCAACAAGATTGAGATGAAATTGAGGACTTGCAGTGAATCTTGATGAGAGACAATGATCTCAGGCACTAGATTTCAATAGGAAGAATGAGATGAGCTCTGCCATGAGTCGTGTTTAATACTTGTACGATGTAATGCCAACTATTTTGTGTATCTTATTTTATTTAAATCTTTCCATGATTCACTTTACATAGTCTATATTAATTTGCAACTTACATACATTAATTTTAGTAACTTGGCTAATGTCACGTAGCTAATGAGAGATGGCCTCACTTTCAAACCTGGGTCCCCCTGGTTTGAAATCTCAACTCTTTGTATTGAGCAGGTTACTTGCTGGCCTTAATCTGGTCTGGAATGGGTTCAGAAATGAAGATATAATGCCTCTCCAGTCTTGATAATTCTAATTTTAGTCATCTGAGTAAAGTGCTTTGGAAATGGAGGCAGGAACTAACTTGTGTTGATCTCTTGAACAGCAGGGTTTTATCAGCTAATTTGGGGACTGTAAATGTTGATGGTTTGCTTTCTAAAAAGCTTATGTAGATAATGTTCTCTCTCTGTCTCTCTCTTTTTTTTCTTTTTGGCGGTACCAGAGATCGAACTCACAACCTTGCACTTGCCAGGCAGGCGCTTATGCCACTGAGCTAAATCCCCAGCCCAATAATGTTCTCTCTTTAACACTGTTGACAGCCTGAAGACAATAGCACTTACTTAATGCTCACTATGTGCTAGCTTTGTGTCAAGCACTGTACAGTCTGTTGAGGGGCACAGATTTAGGAAGTCATTTGCTGCTGTAGACTTTGGTCTCCCATCCTCATAAAGAAGGGTTTGGGTGAGTAGATCTGTGTCTTTTCTGGCACTCAAATGGTTTAGCTTGTGGCTCAAGACATTTCTAGCACCTTTGTGTAGGAGATGGATGTGGTGACACCAACTCACACAGTAATTACCAGGTGGAGGGAATGAAGCATCACAGAAGAGTAAAGAGTGGGCATCTTATGGTTGTTCTAGATCACTCTGAATCCTACCATTTATCCCTTTGGCATTGTTGACATCCCATAAAATGAAGACAATTCATGTGTCAAGGACACTATAAAATCTATTTTAAATGTCCTTATGGTGGATACTCAAGGATTTTATTGAGATTTGGATTAGCCTGCCTTTAGTGACTATTGCTTGCCTTTTTTCCCTCCCTTCCTGTATCTACTGGCAATTTGGATAATCTTCAGACTTTTATTTTTTTTTACTGTTACCAGGGATCGAACTCACGACCACACACTTGCAAGGCAGGTGCTTATGCCGCTGAGCTAAATCCCCAGCCCCCAATCTTTAGATTTTAATGAGAGCAAACTTTGGTCCACTTAATACTACAGTAGAATTTTTTTTTTTTTTTTGAGATAGGGACACTATCTAGTTACTGCCTCACTTTTGCAAGTACTCTTGTAGTTTAATTTTATATCAGTCTCATTAAAAGTGGGCCTCAATTTAGGCTAATGCTGGGCATTATTTATTTGGTCAGCTTTATGCATGGAAGTCCAGATATAGGCAGGAACCCTAGTATCTCTGAACAGAAGGCAAAGCTGAAAAATTGTTTCTCACAGGTGTGCTCAGGGTGAATTGAGGAAATTCCAGCTCATTTGCATGCCCACTGTTACACCAGCCTTTTTCTTTTTCCTTGAATGTTGTAGAAGATGGCAGTGAACGTATATTCAACGTCAGTCACCAGTGATAATCTAAGTCGACATGACATGCTGGCCTGGATCAATGAGTCTCTGCAGTTGAATCTGACAAAGATCGAACAGTTGTGCTCAGGTAAGAGAAGTCTTAGTAGATCACTTTTGTAGGAAAGTCTGCAGGTCCTTCAGGAATGTGAAGACCTGTATCTTAAGTGCAGAGCCACACAGAGGCTGCATTTTCTTCTTTTAACCCTACCTTGCCTCCTTTTTTAAAAAGGGACTATGTTTAAACAGTGCAGTCTTCTGACCTGTGTGCCCACCCTCTCCTGCTACAGAGCTCCAAGTTCTTGGTCTATCCTGCACATCCAGATTTCAAATGTTTTGCTTGAGGAAAATACTACTACGACTGTTAGAGTTAATATTGAGTTTTGTGGTGCTGGGGGTTGTACCCAGGGCCTCACTGGGTAAGTGCTTTATTGGGGAACTGTACTGGCTTTCTAGTTTCATGTTAGTTCATCAGTGACTGTTCTTATTCTTAAGAAGTATAAGATCAAAGGTATGGGGCTGGGGATTTAGCTCAGTGGCATAAGCGCCTGCCTTGCAAGCGCACAGTCAAGAGTTCAATCCCTGGTACCAATAAAAAAAAAAAAAAAAAATCAGAGGCACGCAAATTTTATTAAACTACAGTTTGACAGAGAAACAGTGATTTAAAACAAGAATGAAGAATAGAGCATGTTCTGGTTCTGTACATTTGTTTTGTTTTGTTTTTTGGATAATGCTTGGGATTTAGACGAATATGTACTATTTGTATAACATTTAGAAAACCAGTAGAAAAGAAGAATGCCTGTAATTCCCTTGTTCAGAGAGAGCCACTATTTGAATGTTTTTTTCTGTCACCTTTCTGTATGTGTGTATTCTCTGTATATTCAATCTTTTTTCATTTAATGTTACATCCTTGGCATTCCCCAGCATCATTTAATAAATTGTGAGTAATTATTTAAGACAGGGGCTCACTAACTCAGAAATTTATGTATTTAGTTAAGACAGGAGCTTTCTGTGTAGCAGTCATGATGACCTGTTAGAGCTTTCATTGAGACAAACAGCCTGCTGTGGCATGTGTGCCATAGGTTTGCCACCACTGTTAGCTAGCCCAGGCTGGCCTTACAAACTTGATCCTTCCCCCTCTGCCTTCTGAGTGCTAGGATTACAGGTCTGAGTCACCATGGCCAGCTGGAAATAATTTTTCTTTCTTGGTCTTTTTGAGACAGGGTCTCACTGTGCAGTTTAGGCTGGCTTTGAGCTCACTTTGTAGCCCAGGCTGATCTCAGATTCATAATGATCCTCCTGCCTCAGTCTCCCGAGTGCTGGGGTTGCAGATGTGTGCCACCACACCTGGCTGAAATACTTACTTTGAATTACCATGTACTCCTTTTTCTTTTCTCTCTCTCCTTTGTAAGGGGGGCAGTTTTGTGGATTGAACCCAGGGCTTTGCTCATGCTAGGCAAATGCTCTACCACTGAGTTACCCTCAACCTTTGCACTCTTTCTGTGGATTTGCTGGAGTTGGGTATCATTCCCATCTTTGACATTTAGGTTGTTGGTATTCTTTTGTTATTTATAATGGCTAGGTTGAGTGTTATTAACAAATCTTTTTTCCTCAGTGATTTCTAGGAGTGGAATTAAGTGTGAATTTCAGGTTCTTGGTTATTATTTCTCATAAAGTCATTTTCAGTAATATGCTTTGTAGACTTTTGTTTTACTTTTAAGAGTTCCTGATTGTCCCTGAATTCTGACATGGCAAAAAAATGTTAGATTATTAAAACTGTATCTTACACAGATAGGAGATGATAATGTGCCAGAAAAAGCTTAGTGTGGTGGCATATTCCTGTAATCCCAATACTTGAGAGGCTGAGGCCCACCTGAGCTACATACAGTTCAGAGCCAGCCTGAACTACAAAGTGAGACCCTGTCTCAAAAAACCAATGCCACAAAAAGGTAAGAATAGATTTTTGCCTTGGGAGGGCAAAGCTTTGAGGTCCTACCCTAGTAGCATGCTGGCTGCCTGTGCAGTGGCTGAGTTCTGCAGCACCATGGCCTTCTGGTTCTTCAATACCATACACTCACCTTTGTGCGGCTCTGGTGGTGAGACAAGGTGAGGATAACCTTCAGGGTAAGAGCTGGCAGGTCGTTTCAAGATTCATTCTTAATTCTGTAACCTCCCTACTTTGGAGGGCAAATCATCAAATATTTTGGAACGATAAATGACAAAAAAATCTTATCATGTAACATTTTTAGTGTGGGATTCCTTTTGTCCAAAAGTTGCCACCACTGTTTTTGTCAGCCATTCCTGTGTCCTCCCAGTTCCATTCCATATTCAGGCCTGTCTGTTTTCTCAAGGCCCCAGTGTGGTGTTTTGTGCATATAGCACTGTCATATGACATTGACTTTTCCCACTTGTCCTTTTTCCTGAAACCTGCGCTGGAGAGAAAGTAGAGGTGTTCGGGCTTCCTTTTTTCCCGGCTTCTTGTAGGGCCCTGGAGAACCGTTGAGTTCGCACAACACTTTTTTTTTTTTTTTTGTCTTTTTCATTTTTATCGGTACCGGGGATCGAACTCACGACCGTCTGCTTGCAAGGCAGGTGCTTATGCCGCTGAGCTAAACCTCCAGCCCCCAAAGCTTTTTTTTTTTTTTTTTTTTGTGGTCTTTTCCCTTTTTTATCGGTACCGGGGATCGAACTCACGACTGCCTGCAAGGCAGGCGCTTATGCCGCTGAGCTAAATCCCCAACCCCCCCAAGTTCGCACAACACTTTGTCATTCTTACTTCCATTGTACTACTAATGGCCTGGGCCACCTATTCTGAGATGGCACCATACTCTTAAATCAAGCCTTTCTTACCTTATGTGGCCTGATATTTGTGTCTAGTGTAACTCTCCCCCATCTCATTACTCAGATCCTAGTTCTGCTTTCCTCTGAGGCATTTCTAGGAATTCTCCCTTAGGGGCATGATTCTACCTATTTCCCCGGCATTTTAGGCTTGAGAAACATGTTTTGCTACTGTTTCGTAAGATTCTATTTGTTTTATGAACTGAAGAGGTCCTTTTTTTTTTTTTAATTTTTTTATTTTATAGGCCGTAAAATACAATAGAACAAGACAGAACCAAGCCAGTTGAGACAATGCAGTGATATTGGTAAGAGCTTCAGAGCAGGATACCAGGATAACAGTAATAGGTACCGTAGTATATCTCAGTATCTTCACAGTAGTTGTCCATTCAATCAGATACAGCGAAATGAAACCAAAAACAGAACATAAAACCTATCAAAACAATACTGAATAGAGCAAAACAATCAGAACAAAGCAAAACAGTGAAAACATTTGCCTTCGAAGAGGAGATAGAATTGCTATATTGCTATATTTGCTATATTGCATATGGTCATCCTCTCAAGAGATGCTCAGACTTCTGGCCCCTGTTGCTAACGGGGTCGGGGAGTGGTGGTGGTGGATAGGATGGGATGTTTGATCCACAGCCCGAGTCCTGGCAGGCTCATGGGAGACACTGACGGGTTCTCTTCTTGTCTTGCCCACCGTTCACTCGTGCCTCGGCTGCTTGCCGGGAAGGGGTGCATGTTGCTTTCTTGCTCAGTGCCGTAAGTTCCAACATGGCTGGTGAGAGACCCTTTTTTTATCCCTGCTGTGTTGTCAGCCTTCCTATGGTCATGACCGCATTTGTCATTAAGGCAGAGATAAAGGAAAGCTCTGCCTTTATCTATTCTCTACCTACACAGTTGAAATATTTATAAGCTAGGAGTTTTCAGCCATTTTCCTTTAAAAAGCAGATACACTTTTTTCTTTTAAAAAATGACCTATCCTTTTCTGTGTTCTGATTATGTTCTGTAGCCCATAATTATTTAAAACTAGAATGTGCTCTGTATCCCTTCCCCGTGGACATTACTGACCATTTTAAATCTAAATCTTTGTGGCTTAACCTAATAGATGGTATTTGCTCCTGGTTTTTTTTTTTTTGTGAGACAGTGTCTAAGTTGCTTACTCTGAGTTGGCACTTGGAATGCTCTTGCCTCAGCCTGCCAGAATGCTGGGATACTAGGTATGTACCACCATGTCCAGTTCAGCTTTGTTGGTTATTAATGGGTCTTTTTTCTTTTTTTCTAGTGATGGGTATTAAACCTGGGACCTCACACATGCTAAGCAAGTGCTGGATTATGAGCTATCTCTTAACTCTTTTAATGAGATCTTAATGTTTTTCCTTGTATATTAATCTCATACCAGCCAGTGATAGTGGCATGGTATAGTTGTTTTTGCTACACTTTCAATCCAGAGAGTAGCACTTCTTGACTCAATTGTATTGAGGAGAGCTTGCAATGATGTGGAAAATAACTGAATGGGAATTAGTCTGCTTGGAAGTGGTCCTAAATTTGGTCTCACTTCTGTGGCATTGGGTTACAGTTTTTTTTGACAGTGTTTCACCACATAGTTCAGGTTGAACTTGAACTCATTATTTAGCCCAGGCTGGCCTCAAACCTGTAGCAGGATCCTCCTGTCTGCCAACTGAGTGCTGGGATTATAAGCTTGTGCCATCCTGCCTGACCTGGGTACAGTTTTTGGTCCAGTTTTGGTTTTGTGAGACAGGGTCTCACCATGTAGTTCAGATTGCCTTGAACTCACTTTGGAGCCTAGACTGTCTACATAGTGACAGTACTTACAGCCTGAGTACTGAATGTAGATGCCTAGTGGATTATCTACTTGGTGTTTTTCTTAAAGTTTATTTGTATGTGTTAGGATCCATACAAGTCTATACATTGCAGTTGTTAACTTACGATTTTTTTTTTTTTTTTTGTCTTTTTCCTTTTAATCAGTACCAGGGATTGAACTCACGACTGCCTGCTTGCAAGGCAGGCGCTTATGCCGCTGAGCTAAATCCCGAGCCCTTAACTTACGATTTTTAAAATTTATCTTAAAGTAAAACAATTTCCTCCTTCACCCTATTTATTGAAGAAATTGGGTCATTGACTTTTAGACTATAGGAAGCTATTAATGTATCCCTATTTTTTTAAATGTAAATATTAGTAATAGAATGCTTGGTATATTAAAGAGTGTCCTCAGTATATTTTTGCTTGATACTCATCAAACAAAGAAGTCACTTGAAAAATATTTTGCTTTCTTCCTTTATTTTAATCTTAAAATTTTAAAAATTATTTATTTATTGTCTTTTTGAGACAGTTCTTCACTATCCAGTTCAGGATGGCTTTGAGCTCACTTTGTAGCGTAGGTTGGTCTTGCACTTGCAATGATCCTCCTGCCTCAGCCTCCCAAGGACTGGGATGACAAGTGTGTGCCACCAGGCCCAGCTAAAAAAAAATTTTTTTTTGATACAAGATTTCAGGCTGGTCTTGAACCTGCTTACCCTTCCAAGCACTGTGTATACCACCTCACCCACCTAAGGTTTCACTTTCTGAAGATGCTACAAAGAATGTTACTGTGCTCATTAATGTGCCTTTGTTCTCTTTACATCTTTCTTTCTTTCTTTTGGTATCAGGAATCACACTCAGGACCTTGTGCTTGCCAGGCAGGTGCTGTGCCACTGAGCTAAATTCCCAGCCCTGCATCTGCTTTTTAAGATAATAATGGCATTCTTCATGCTGGACCTGTCAGGGAGCATTTTGGCTCGATTTAAAGTTGAATATACATTTCGTGGTGCTCTTGAGTCCAGCAGAACCCTTACTGTTTAGCATGCTCCTTTGGTGGAATAGCCTGAAGGGTAGTAAGTGCACAGCAATGCCTACTCTACATTAGGAGAGGTCAGCTTGGTAGTTATACTTTTTTTTTTTTGGAACTGGGGATCAAACTCACTTGCCAGGCACTTGCTCGTGCTGCTGAGCTAGATCCCCGGTGCCAAATTATACTTTAAAAAAATTTTTTTTGAGACAGAGTCTTTCTTAGACAATTCAGGCTGGCTTCAACTTGCAGTGATCCTCCTGCCTTGGTTTCCTAAGTGCTGGGATTACAGGTGTGTGCCACCCAGCCTACATTTTATTAATGGAGGAATATAAAATATTTTCAGCTTTTGTTTATAAAAATTAGTTTTTATTTTTGGTAGTGCTAGGGGACCAACCCAGAGTTTTGCTGAGATTACAAGTGTTACACCATAATACTCTGCTTACAACTTTTGTGTTTGCGTTAAATGGATCTGAGAAAGAAAAAAAATTTTTTTGGATCTGAGAAAAAATTGACCATGCTTCTTTAACATTCACATTCAGTAATCTAGTGTTTGTTGCACTTTTATGTGGTTATTTATTCATTCAGGTGCTGCCTATTGTCAGTTTATGGACATGCTCTTCCCTGGCTCCATTGCCTTGAAGAAAGTGAAATTCCAAGCTAAGCTGGAGCATGAATATATCCAGAACTTCAAAATACTACAAGCAGGTTTTAAACGAATGGGTGTTGATAAAGTAAGTAAATTTTATTCTTTCATTTAAGTTTATTTTTTCTCAGCTAATTATGGTTACTAAGGATACCAATGAAAACTCATGACTTTGATTTTTTTTCCTAGTTTACATGGCTCTTTTTAAAAATCTAGTTAATGTAGAATTTGTAGAATGTACACAGAGCAGCCTTATCTACACTCCTACCTCTACTTTTCTCTGAATTGTTTTTTTTTTTTCTTTTTTTTTGGAGAATGGGCCTGGCTGTATATTCCAAACTGGCCTTGATCCTCTTACCTCAGCCTCTTGAATGCTGGGATTACAGGCATGTGTCACACTATGCCTGGCCATCTCTGTATCTTCTTTATCACTGTGAATTTAGTAGCTATTTGAATTTGGAGGACTCAACCTATAAATCTTATACCAGTGGTTTTTTTTTTTTTTTTATTACTGTTTAATCTCTACTAGTATAGGATCTAAGTTTCTTAATTTTTGGATTTCTGCAAAGCATACTGTATATGAATAAATAATTCTAATAGAGAAGATTCTCCTGCCTCAGCCTCCCAAGTGCTGGGATTACAGGAGTGCGCCCCACTCCTGGCAGAGGATTGCTTGTTTGAAACCAACCAGGGTAATTTAGGGAGATCTTATCTCAAAAGATCTGAGGATGTTAGCTCAGTTGTAAAGTGTTTGCCTAACATGTAGGATGCCCTAGGTTGGATCCCAAGTACTGCAAAAATGAAAAAACAACGATAATTCAACTCTTGTCAATACCTAAATGATTTGAAGTAATACTAATAATACAGTGTTCTTGTATAGTAAACATGGATCCTAGAATATGATTAATAGGACTGTAATTACTTGAAAACCTTGTCATTTTGTAGACATCTATTTCCTGGTTTGATTCTGCATCTTGATCAATTTTCAAGTCAGAATTTTCCTGGTAGAGGCCTGTGGTTAGTTTTTGCTGTGGATTTCATGGTTTGTGATAGACATTGTAGTGACTAGAGATTTTCTCTTTTTAGTGGAATGGCTCTCTTTTTTTCCAAATTCATTTTATTTCAAAGAGAAAAAAGAAAAACAATTTTAAAACACATAGATCGGCGGCAATAATGGTACATACATTGTGCACTGTCATCTCCAAACATTCACCCAGAGCACGAGATGGCTGCATTCAATTGTCCAAGCAACACCAGCACAAACCATTCTCTTCAATGAACTCCGAGAAATCAATACTCAGCCTCCTAAGTAGTACAACTATCTCTGTCTGTCTAGATAGATAGATAGATATGTATATACGTACACATTGCATATATATCTGTATATATATAGATAGATAGGTATGTATATACATATACATATATGTATGCAATATGTACACATTGCATATATATCTGTATATATATATATAGATAGGTATGTATATACATATACATATATGTAGCTTCTCACACTAGTGAGATGGCATGATGTTTACACGTGTGTCAATTCACTTATGAGTGTATTCTCAAGTTGCATCTATTTACCTGCAAAAGTCTTGTTTGTCCTTTATGGCGGAGTAGTACTCCATTGTATAAAAGTAACATCTTTTTTATCCATTCCTTAGTTGATGGGTATTTAGGTTGTTTCCAAGATCTAGCTATTACAAATTTTGCTGCTGTGAACATTGGAGCGCATACATAGTTGTGGTACGATGTTTTTAATTATTCTGGGCAGATACTCAGAAGGAATAGCTGGGTTGAATGGGAACTCTAGTCTTAGTATTTTGAAGAATCTGCACACTGATTTCCACAGTGGTTGCACCAGTCTACACTCCCACCAACAGTGGAGAAAGGGTTCTTTTTTCCCCACAGCCCCTCTAGCATTTGTTGTGGTTGATTTCTTGATGATAGCCTGGAATGGCTGTTACATCACATCTCAGAATGTATTTGGTTGTGTACATGTCATTGATGTAATTGTACTTGTTCCTTTTTACTCAGTTTCCTTTTCATAAATTTGAGGGACTGGTAAGGAATTGGTACTCCATTGGAGGTAAAGGGAATGAAATTTGCTCTATAAATTTCTAGGGACATAGCACAAAGTTTTCTATAATTTTTTTTCTCTCCTCTTAGGAGAACTTTATTCTGATTTGACTCCTGAACAGATTTGATGCTTGCCAAAAAACTTGCTTGGTATTTCTTTGCAGATAATTCCTGTGGATAAATTAGTAAAAGGAAAATTTCAGGACAATTTTGAATTTGTTCAGTGGTTCAAGAAGTTTTTTGATGCAAACTACGATGGGAAAGAGTATGACCCTGTAGCTGCCAGACAAGGTCAGGAGACTGCAGTGGCTCCTTCCCTTGTTGCTCCTGCTCTGAATAAACCGAAGAAACCTCTCAGCTCTAGCAGTGCAGGTAAAAAAAAAATGAAAACATAGTCTCAAACATCACAATCCAAATAATAGTGTTCCAGGTATTCTTTTATTCAGGTTGAATCAGAATTTTGGGGTGGAAGATGTTGGGGATTGAACGTTGGGCATGCTAGGAAAGTGCTGTGGTGCTGAATATATCCCCAGCTCTGCATCAAAACTTTTTGCAGAGGTGCAGATTTGGGATCTTTAGAAGCCCAATCCAATGCATTTGATAAGAACATGGATCTTGTCATGAGAAAGATCTGTGTATGTGTGTGTGTGTGTGTGTGCACGCCTGCACATGCGTGCGTGTGCTCTGCAGGCCAGAGTGAACCCCTGCACCCTGCCCCACAGTGTCCTCTGTACAGTGGGAGGTTTAGTATTTGCCCCAGAGAGTGCCCTTTGTGGTCTGCAGGAGTTACTGTGTGCCATTTTGCCAAAGCTCTCTATTTGTGTGGATTAGAAATCCCTTAAGCTAGCTCGGGTAGGAGAGCTTTTACAATCTGAAGGTAAGTTACAATCAGGCCTGAGTTCCCAGGACCTAAAGGAGTTTTCTAGGTCTCTCAGAGTCCACTTCAGAGTGTCTGCCAGTATCCTGTGCTTATTCATGACTTGCATTGATCTTTGACTGGTAAGTAGCAGAAGTGAGCTAAGGTACAGTGGGTAGGAGGGCTTTTTTAGAGAACTTGAGGTATTGACTTAATAGGTTTCCCAGAATGTGTTTGCATCAGTATGTTCACAGAGCATATACTTTTGTTGGAGCAGGGTAGATGGTCTACAGATGCTAATTCCTCTTTTCTCAAAAGATAGCAAGAACTAGTATGTTAAGGGCCCATAGTACCTGGAGAGGGGCTGATCCGGCTGGTGGGTAGAGCTGACTGGTACTGAGGACTAAACTCAGGGCTTGTTTTGCACTGAGCTATATCCCCAGCCTTTTTTATTTTGGAGACAGGGTCTCAGTCACCAAGTTTATTGCACTATACTTGACACACTATCCATTTTATCTGTTTGAAATGCTTAAACTGGGCACCGTGGTGTATGCCTACAACCTCAGCTACTTGCGAGGTTGAGGAAAGAGGATTGCAAGTTAAGAGACTTAGATAATGTAAAACAAAAGGGCTGAGATGTAGCTCAGTGGTGAATTGGTTTTCTAGCATGTGTAAAGCTGTGGATATAATCCTTAGTGCTACAAAGAAAAAAATTGACATGTATATTTTCTGGCATAATCCGAGTTCTGCATCCATTACCAGAATGTGCATTAGAACGTTTTTATTACTCCAAGGAGAAATCTGTAATATAATAGCAGTTGTCTCTATTTTAACTCTTCTTAGTTTTCCGTAGGCAACTGCTATCTATAGATTTGCTTTTTTTTGAAGCAGGGTCTTGCTGTGCAGTTCAGGCTGGCCCTTCAACTCACTTTGTAGCCCAAGCTGGCCTCAAACTCGCAGCAAGTCTTCTGCCTCACCTTCCCGAGTGCTGGACTTACGAGTGTAATTCTTTTGGACATATAAATGAAGTCATGGAATATGTGATCTTTGTGTCTGGCTTCTTTTACTTTGCATGTATTTTAAGGTTCATCCATGCCATAGACTTTGCTTTTTTTTTGAGACAAGGTCTCTCTTTGTAATTCAGGCAAACCTTGAACTCGTGGCAGTTCTGCCTCGGCTCTGTGAGTGCTGGGATTACAGGCTTGCACCACCATGCCTAGCTTTGCTTCATTCTTTTTTATTGCAGAATAATATTTTGCTGTATCACTATATCTTACCTTATTCATCACTTAGGATCATTTCACGTTTTTTTCCCCCCCAGCTGTTATGAGTAATGGCACTAAGATTCATAGATGATTTCTGTCTGGACATGTTTCCATTTCTCTTGGAGCGGAATTTCATATGTTAACAATGACAAATTTTTGCAGAGCCGCCTCTTTTCAGAGTAGCTGAACTAGGTACAGAACCATTAGCAGTATGTAACGCTTCTAGTTTCCCCAGATACTGCATACTTTCATTTGAAACAGCAACTGCTTAGGTAACCCTGTGCATTTCATTTTTCAGATGCTATTAACAGTTCAATGGAGAGTTGTAATAATCAATCTTCAGGATAAACATATTTTAGAACCATCCAAAGGAAATGCTTGTTACTGTGGGCAAAAGACTTGTTATAAATTACAGGTATCAGGAAGATTAGATCCCAACCTGGCATAATGTGCAAGTATTATAGAATAACTGTTAATTAAGTGAAATCATGAATAATACATTTATCTTGAGGTAATGCATTCTTGATTATTTCATCTTGCAGATAGGTTGGCCACTGCTTTGTTTGCTTTTAGCAGTAAATACTGAGAGAAATCTATAAATCCTAGTCACCAAGATGCTTTTCTCTCCTGACCCTTCTAAATACCTTCTAAAAGGTGGGAAAGAAGTTTCGATATAGTGATAAGAGCAGCTCTACCAGCCTTATGGCCTCCTTTCTTGTTCTAATCCAACAAATGAAGTTAAAAGCGTTGGGAGGGATTTGTTTTTCAGCCCCTGGAGTTGTGATCTAGTTTTGCTACAGGTTTTATCTCTGATCTGTGAAGCTGCCTTGCTTGTGCAGTTGGTTGGAGCTGGGTTAAGGTAGATCATCTGTGTGCAGCAGAATGGCAGTTCATTTGACTGCAGCAGAGTAGAGACGTTACAGGAAGACTTGGTGTCATCGTGAAGAGAGCATGCCGAAAATTGGTGCTTAACTCAGCTACCAGGATAGAAACCAGGTTAGGCAAATGTGGGGAGCTGTCTTATATGTAAGGGCTGACTAGCACTGGTTTTCTTCACTAGACATGTGTGGGAAGCAGTTGATCACATTCTTCCTTTGATGTCTAGATTTCTGAAGTTTCTCCTAAAAAAAAAAGCCTAATCTTTTCTCAGCTCCACAGAGACCCATTTCAACACAGAGAACTACTTCGACTCCTAAGGCTGGCCCAGGGGTGGTACGGAAGAATCCTGGTGTGGGTAACGGGGATGATGAGGCAGCTGAACTGATGCAGCAGGTAGGTACTTCCTGTGTTTAAGGTTAAGGTCATTGGGGTTTTCTGGGCTGCAGTGACTAGGGGAGGCTTGTCCTGCTTTCCTTTCCTTTTTTTTTTTTGTACCAGGGATTGAACTCATGACTGCCCGCTTGCAAGGCAGGTGCTTATGCTTATGCTGCTGAGCTAAATCCCCAGCCCTCGTCCTGCTTTTAGAGGGAGCCCTGCATTGTTTGCAGGCTAGAGCAGTTCTTGAAACTCATGTAAGCATTTGTTTTGTTGGCCCTTGACAGCAGTATGGGTGGGACAGTTGTGAGTAGGGGAGGAGGATGAGTCAGGCTTTTTCTGTTTTGATTAACAGATACCTGTCTGGAAATGAACCTTAAAACAGAACCTTGTTGAATGTTTCTAGAATGCTCTTACGATTCTCTGGGATTCAGAGTAAAAGCTAAAGGAGTTTCTGGAGATTGAAATCAAGAGTGGATTGATATGAAAGGCCTGTTGCTCTTTTGGTTCTGTTCTTAATGGTTCAGTGATTTGAATTGTCTTCAGGATTAAACATATTAGATATGGTTCTTATCAGAGGCCTTTATGGCTCAGAGCAGTCTTTAGACTTTTAAACATTTTCCTTATTGGTCCTTCTAGTGTGCTTTTATTGATCACCCTGTGGGTAGCGTTAAGGAAGTACATAAGATCTGAAGAAAAAAGGAAACTTCTGTTTAGAGGCATGAATATGCAAGGGAGACAGTTTCAGAGAAAAATATGAGGTTAAGTGTGAAACGAGGTGGCCAGCAAGTTGGTCCTGTGCTCTCCAGGAGTAGTGGCACCAGATTCTTTGGGATTGTTGCTATTGGCTCAGCCAGTATGATGGAGTACGGGTCTTGAACCTAGGTCTGGTGAAAAGTGAGACTATCGTTACGTCTTCTTAGGACAAGTCAGTCTCTGGGAACTATTTGTTTTCTTCTTTGTTTCTTTCTGGGGTTTTTTTTTTTTTTTGGGTACTGGATGTTGAACTTGGGACCTTGCGCTTGCCAGGCAGGCTCTGTGCTGCTGAGCTACATCCCCGGCCCTTTTGGTTTTTTGAGATGGTCTCACTGTGTAGTTTAGGTTGGCCTTAACCCCAAACTGGCCTTGAATTCGTGGTGATCCTTCTGCATCAGCCTCTTGAGGGCTGGAATTTTAAGGCATGCAACACTACACCTGGCTCAAGCGCTCTTGATAATCTAGGTTCTGTGGTATTCTCTGAAAGTTAACAGAAACCAGAATGTTTTGGCTCATATATGAATTAGCATGCATGAATAATAAAAGATGCAAAATTTACAGAATGCTAGGCTACACTGAGTATTTTAGTACCACTTTTGTGGTAACCCTCTGGTTTTACAGATATGGGCAGTGATGTTTGAAGAGTGAGGATTTAAAACCCAGGTATGTCTGGCTTCACAGTCAAGATCAGATACTGCTCACTGAGGAATTGAGGAAGTTGTTCCTTTCTCGCAACATTGGAAATTATAATTATTTTGGACAAATTGCTGCCAAGCGTTAGAGAGAATTCTAATGCTTGAAAGATGTGGACTGGACCTAGAAGTGATTTCTGATATAATTAAAAGATTTACTCAGTGCCAGCCTGTGACCAAATCCTGAATGAAGGTTATGGGAAGCAACAGCAGCAGCCTTGTAGGGGTGGGTGTGGTTAGATCTGGGTTTCCTTCCCAGATCAGAATCAGCTAGTTTGGATGATCAGTATAGTGGAAGTGTTCTATAGCAGTTGAGATGCGGAAGGGTTGTGGTTTTGAAGATACGGTTTGGTACTCTGTATGTGTCTGTCTCCATCAGTACTGTGGAACACCAGGAAGCTAAATAAAGATGCAAAGACTGAAGAAACTTCATTGATCCTGAAAGACAGGATCAAACACACATCCAGTTGGTCCATCTTCATCACAGAAGTACTTAGTCTTGTGTATTTATTTTATTTAATTTTATTATTATTATTATTATTATTATTATTGGTGGTACTGGGGATTAAACCCAGGGCTTTTGCGCTGAACTACATCCACATCCTTTTTTTAGTTTTTATTTTGAGACGGGGTCCCACCAGGTTGCCAAGGTTCGTAGGCTAAGCTTGCAATCTCTTGTGTCATCCTCTCAAGATGCTGGTATTACAGGTGTGTGTGCTACTGTCTCAACTTTTTTTTCTTCCCTTAATTATTTAGTGTGAAAGACTTTAGGGCTTTTCCAGGTTGCCAAAGTCCTTCACGTCCTGCCTATTACTGACTCTTGGGTTATTCACATGATTTGTACTTCTTTTTTTTTTTTTTTGGTATTGGGAATTGAACCTCAGGACTTTGAACTCCGAACTCAAAAGCTTGCCAGGCAGGTCCTTTGCCGCTGAACTAAATCCCTGGCCCTGTCTGTACTTTGTGAAAGCATTTGAATTTGTAGACCTTGATAAATGTGGGAAATGCAGCCAAATGGTCATTAGGCTAAGAGAACAAAACTGTATTCTACCCAAATTAACTTGAGAGATTTACAAAGGTTCTACATTCTTAAGTCCTTCTGGAGAAATTTGCTTTGAATGAGATGTTTTGAAGACTGTACTCAGTCTTTTAAGTGTGGATTGTATTTTATTACAAGGGTGGTGGTGTATGCCCATGGTCCCAGCACTCAGGCAGCTGAGGATCATGGAATTCCAGGTCACCTTGAGCTACATAGTGAGTTAAAGATCAGCCTGCACTGCTCGGTGAGATCCTGTATTAAAAACAACTTGCAGCCCATCTCACTCCCTCCGGCCAAATCAAATAACTGTATGTGGCTGATGGCTACTGTTTTGGCCGTTGCAGAGCCCGAAACATTCTTAGGTTTCTTGGGCTAGAACCATTGCTGTACTACTGTAAAAGGAAAGGTTGTAAGAGTGACAATTGATTGACTACTAGCCACAGAATTGTTTTTTTTGGGGGGGGCGTCCTGAGGATGGAATCTGTAGCTCTACCAGTGAACCACAGCCCCACTCTGAGTGCCTCTTGACTGTAAGAGGAGCTTCCTTCTGTCCCACAGAATATTCAGTTGTGTTGGGTTCTTCATCTGTCTGAGGGGAAGCTGCATTAGCTCTCTGCTGCTCATTTTGCAGGTGAATATTCAGAAGATTGGACTAAATTTTTGTGGTGTCTTTTGGCACTATCAGACTTTCCTGCCAGAATTGTTCTTGATTTCCTTTGGCTTTTCATAGCTCTTGATGGTCTTGAGGGTATGCTGTGCAGTTGCATTTGCTGAGAGTTACATTGAATTCATCATAAATTTGAATTCACTGGAATAAACATATTCCAGGGTTTGAATACATAGGACTTTCTGTTCTTGGCTAGATTTCTTACCTAAGTATTGAGATTTATTTGTTAATATTTTCTTCTTGTGAATCAGAGCACCTCAGGGATGAGTGTGGGAGACAACTCCAGTGACTCCCCTTGAATGCAAAACAATTACTGTGACTTTAATTATTTGGAGACTTATTTCCTTATACTGATATGTAGAGAGCTGGCTATGGTATTTCATTCTCTCCTCAATTGGCTCTAAGCATTGCAAATAAGACTAGCTGAGGTGCTGCTATGTAATCTATAAAGCCAACAGGTAGTCCTGTTTCCCAGCATAGTGTTCTCCATACAGGATATGAGCACAGCGGAATGTTAGAGCCAACAGCTTTGGGAATGTCAGCTGGGTAAGAGTCTCAAGGTAAAGAGGCTATGACTCCCCAGGGCACAAGAGTTTGCATATCAGAAACTGAAGGACAGCCTCCCAAAACAATTCTGTTGCCACCTTAATTAGATTATGTGACTTGATCCTTCTGCATCTCTTTCTCTCACCTGGCTAACCAGCACAAGTTACTCACTTAATTCCTGCCATCCTCACCGTAACTCATCCCTGAGCCACCCTCCTTCTTCACAAGATAATAAACTCTGGGAGAGGCCTAGGATCAGGGCCTTTGTCCGCACATCCTCATGGAGATTGGATTTAGGACTGCTTGGCTGCCCTTAATTTGGAATATGTCTTGGTGTTTTTATTCCTGCTGTGGGTTGTATTTGTGGTTTTTAGATTGGAATTTACTTGCTGGGATTTCAATGACATCTCAGTGGGATTACAAATAAAACCTTTTGGATTGTGAGGAAAACTAGAAAGTGATTACATTACTTGGGTGACTGCGCACAGTATTTGGGATTACAATAGACTCTCTCTTTCCATTGACTTCCATATATAGCCAGGATTGAACTTGATTGACAGTCCCCTGGTAGGGACTCCGCCTATGATTTCTTTTAACTTTGCTGTGCTAGATTGTGGATTCTGTTCCTACATTTGTCCATACATTCTGCTTGTATACACTATTTGTCTCTGGCTTCTGTAGTTTTTCTCCTTGATCCTTTCTCAGTTCCTGAGAAGATGCTACATGTCTCAAAGTGTAGTCTTGTAGTCTGTCCATTCCTGGGAGCTGTTAGGATCAAAGCTACTGTACACAAATACATATTGTTTGTCTGGGGCTGAAAAAAATTGACATTAAACTGAACTGAATTTTGTCTCTCTTCAGTTTTTTTTTTTTTTTTTTTGTACCGGGGATTAAACTCATGACTTTGCTCTTGCCAGACAGGCGCTTATGCTGCTGAGTTAAATCCCCCCTCTGTTCAGTTTTATTAAAGACAGTATCACCTCCAGGTTTAGAAGTTTGTGTAATATTTTACTGGTACATTAATGCTGACTTTCTTACCCTTTTTTATCTTGTATAGGTAAATGTGTTGAAACTTACTGTTGAAGACTTGGAGAAAGAAAGAGATTTCTACTTTGGAAAGCTAAGGAACATTGAATTGATTTGCCAGGAGAATGAGGGAGAAAATGACCCTGTCTTGCAGAGGATTGTAGACATTCTGTATGCCACAGATGTAAGTGTTGACATGAAGATATTTTCTTTCCATTTTGCCGCTTAAGAGAAAATAAGCTTAATTTAGTTGATTTTAGTAAACCATTGATACTTGTATTCTAGTATACTTTTCATCAAAAGACTTAATCTTTGATCTTTCAAAGTTAGCCTAAGAGCACCTTTGCCCAGCTTCAGTCTCTGCTTTGAGGCTCATGAACCTTGGAGAAGGAATAGGACAAAGAGGTGGCTGGTTTGCCCAGCTTCTGTAGTTTGTATCCACTGATAGGCCATAAAATGCTCCCAGCTAGAAGAATCCTCCATCTCTATCCCACCCCCTACAGCTTGGACCACTTCAGCTGGCATGTCCCTGGAGTTCCATGAGTCCAAGCATCTCATGGTGCCTTTATAATGTCTGCTGTCTTACTGTCAAAGAGCATATCTTGGCTTCTCCCTCCTAGGAGACTGTTACTTAGAGTACTTGATGATCAGATTTCTTTGCATTTTATTCCACAGCTATATCTACTGTTATTAATCATGAAATGTTACCTGATTAGAAAAGTCTGATTTTTCTAGATTTAGAAGTTGGTATCTGATGTATATCAATTATTTAGTAGTTGTATTTTATAATTCTGCATGCCTAACAAGGCTTAGACAATGCACTGTGTGTAGCACTACATAAAGTAATCATAATGCTGTTATTATCATTGCTCTCTGATTAAGATAGATCACTAGGGGCTGGGGATTTAGCTCAGCAGCATAAGCACCTGCCTTGCAAGCAGGCGATTGTGAGTTCGATCCCCGGTACCGATAAAAAGATTAAAAAAAAAAAAAAAAAGATAGATCACTGAAAAGCTGGTAAGTTTATTAAATAAATCTTTAGGACTTGTTCTGTACTAGACAAGATACAGATATCTTTGGTCTAGTCTGTGTTATTATTATTATTATTTTTTTTTTTTTTTTTTGGTACTGGGGATTGAACTCATGACCTTGTGTTTGCCAAGCAGGCACTTATGCCGCTGAGCTAAACCCCCGGCCCTATGTTATTATTTTGATGGAGGCAGATCTTAAGTGAATTAAGTAATAGATACAGGTTTTGTTAAAAACAACACGGTGGTTGAAGGAGTGAGATAGTTTTCATGATAGAGTAGAGGTCCATTTCCTGCCGTAAGTACCTGCGAATGCAGGGAGTGCGTGTGAAGTATATCATGAATGCCTCTTTCCTTGCATGTTCAGTTTCCGATGCCACTAAATTTGGGTTGGTTTTGGGTATTGTGGGTATTTTGTTTAAACATGGTTCTTACGTACAATCACAGAAATGTATAAAAGAAAAGCTAATAGTTTGAGATTAGATGGTGGATTACTGAACTTTATGGGAGACTAGGAAATTGTGAGGTCAATTTTTTCCCCTCTCTTCTCCATTTATTTTTTCTTTTCCTTTCTTTTTTTTTCTTTGGTTCTTGTGTTGTTGTTTCTTTCTTTTGTTCTTTCATTTCTTTGTTCTTTTGTTCTTGGTCTCACTCTGTAGTTCAGACTGGCCTTGAACTCAGTTATGTAGCCCAGACAGGCCTTCAGCCTCCGGAGTGTTGGGATTATAGACATGACCCATCATGCCCTGCTTCTTTACTTTTTTAAAAACAATTTTATTAGCTGGCTGTGGTGGCACACACCTGTAATCCTAGCACTTGGGAGGCTGAGGCAAGAGAAGCATTGCCAGTTTAAGGCCATTCCGAACTATATGGTGAGACCCTATCTCAAAAAACCAATCCAGAGCTGGGGATATAGCTCAGCCAGCACAGTCCCTGACTGTTGAGCACAAGGTTGTAGTTCAAGCCCTGGTACCTAAAAAAGAACAAAAGAAAAAGGAAAAAACCAATCCAAAACAAATCAACCAAAAAAAACTTTATTTAGGTGTAGCTGACATGTGGTTGCACACATTTTAAATTTATGTTTTATGATGTATGAAATAAGTCATCACATACATTCATCACTTCAAAAATTTTGAGAGTAATTTGATGTGTACTTAGTTTTGACTTTATGTGAGATGTGATTTGACTGTTGAGAAATTAATAATCACCTGGCCTGTGTGATTAAGTACCAAGTGTAATAGAGACAAGGTCTGCTTACTTTGAAAGGCTTTAACTATGAAGAAAGTAAAAACCGATCATTCAGTATTAACTAACAGCTTTCCCCTCTCACTTTTCCATTTTAGGAAGGCTTCGTGATACCTGATGAAGGGGGCCCACAGGAGGAACAAGAAGAATATTAACACCTTGGGCCAGCAGAGCCATCAGAATTCTTCACTCCAAATCATGTGCTTAACTGTAAAATACTCCCTTTTATTATTCTTAGAGGATTCACTGGTTTCTTTTCATAAGCAAAAAGTACCTCTTTTTAAAAGTGCACTTTGCAGAAGTTTTACTCCTTTTCCCATAAATTTGAGTTAGGAGCTTTTACCTTGTAGCAGAGCAGTATTAACATCTAGACGATTCAACTGCGGAACATAGAGGCTGACTGTGGGGCTTACCATGCGGATGCTGGTCACACTGGTTGCTGGAGAAGGTGTTTTTATGTAATGCACTGAGATGCCAACCTCAGTAGAGAAATGTAAAGACTGAACTGAATTTTAACCTAATGTGAAATCTTGGCAAAGAACATGTTAATAAATAAGTAAATGCCTTAAGAGTATTTAAAATGTGCTTCCATATGTCAAAATACAAAATGTAATGAGACAGAAGATTTTATGTCTGACATTGTGCCTGGAAAGGAAAGACCAGACCTTGGAACCTTCAGAACCTGCTATTACAAGCTTTGTAGGGCTGTGTGATTCCTTCCACGCCGAGCCTTTGACCCAAAAGGAAAGTTTAAGAAATTGCTTTATAAAGAAAGCCATTTGGAGTCACTGGTTAACTGTGTCCCTGCAAAATGTAAGCGGCATGTTTGCATAGATGATTAGAGGGTATTCAGCCCTGAGACATTTGAGGTGAATAGCTCGATTTTTTACTGAGCATTTCTCTGATGATTTTTTAAGTTATACCTGAAATTTTTGTGTATTGTGGTTTTTGGGAAATGCGGCGTGTCCAGTTTTACAGTCTTAACAACTACTGGGGCTTGCCCACATCTTTGGATTTGGAAGGGAGAGTGTCCTGTTGTATTGTCTTTAAGTTTACAGTTAACATATTCCTCTTCTTTACTCCCTTTGCCCAGTGGGACTCTTCTCTGGCTCCTAAATTTGCTGCTTAGCATTGGAAGTATGGCGGGCAGGTGATCTTGCTGCAGGTTCTTGCTGGACCTCTGGCAAAGGGAGTATCAGCAAAGGCCATTATTACCTTGGGATCTACAAGGTTGGGGTGTTTTTGGTATCTGCTGTCCACAGCTCTCCACTTTTAACCTGAATACTTTGCCAGTGCACTAATCTCTTTGGAGATAAAATTCACTTGTGTGTAACTCAATGTTAATTTCTTTTGCAGAAAATACAGTACCATGTGTGAATTAATTATTAATATTTAAAATACTTCATTCCTTAACTCTCCCTCATTTACTTTTTGCTCATGGCCTATTCAGTCCCTTTGTTTGGCAGAATCCTGCAAAATGTATGTTACCCACTACTGAGATTGTTGAGCCCTTGATGTGTTTGTATTGGTTTGTTTCTGGTGGTAGCTTGTCCTAAAATGTGTGTAGAAAACAGGTATTTTATGATAAAATTGTTGTGTAGTGCATGCTCTGTGTGGAATTCAGAGGAAAACCCAGATTCAGTGATTAACAATGCCAAAAAAATGCAAGTAACTAGCCATTGTTCAAATAACAGTGGTGCTATTTCTCTTTTGTGGCCTTTTAGACTTTTGTTGCCCTAAAATTCCATTTTATTGGGAAACCATCTTCCACCTGGTCTTTCTTGACAGGGTTTTTTTCTACTTTTAACAGTTTCTAAATAAAATTCTGTATTTCAAGAGTGTCTTGTCTTCTGAAATTTGTTTTGCAATGGTTATAAATAAGTTTTTAGATTTTAATGATGCATTACTTGTGCTTTTTTCTTAAATTAGCGCTAATCTTTTTAAATCCCTCTCTGTATTTGTCAAATGTTCTTATTTCTAAGCCTGCTTCCTTTTTTCTTTATTCATACTACTTTCTCAGTCTCCCACTGTTCTAAATTTACTTTACTGCAAAAGATTTTTCCTTTCCATAACTTCAAAGCTTGACCCAGCTGCTGTGAAACCTTAGGCCGTGTCCTCCTGAGAAATATAGCAAGAAAGCACTTGGCAGAAGATTATGGGGAATGAATAACGTATCTGTGTGTGTGTGTGCATGTGTGTGTGTTTTGAAGAATGTTTTAAAGGCATTTAACACAATCTCTTTTTTTCTTCCTTTATACAGTTCTATGTCTTTAGAGGTTTAAAGGGTTTAGAGGGCTTAAAATGCAGCTTTGTAACCATTTTTAGTACAAAATAAAGTGAAATGGGTGAGGATAGGTTTTTATATGATCTTTAGAATCCTTAGCACAATTATGGTTGCTCTGGAAAACCAGCTTGATGGTAATTTTGACTAGGGATGCATCCACATTACATTCTCTAAAAGTTAATGGTATGATACTTTCCTTGAAATGGTATATACCTTATGAAGAATATTGATACCAAATGTGTTGGTAATCAATAAGAAGATGCCTCCAGGAGTGCATGAAGTTTGTGAAGACACTGTTGAGTGTTGTCACCTGAGAACTAACTTGGTAAGGAGTAAATCTGTTTCTGGGTGTATTTGTGACCTAAGCCCGTTGACTTGGCACTTTAGCCTGAGGCACAGAAAGGTTTTTTTTTTGTTTGTTTTTTGAAATTAGATTTTTACCATGTAGTTTAAACTGGCCTTGAATTTTGTACCCTAGGCTGGGCTTGAACTCATGATGATCCACCTGCCTCAGGCTCTCAAGTGTTGGGATTTATAGATGTGTGTCACCATGCCTGGTAATAAAGCCTTGGTGTGACAACTTCAGGTTAGGTCACTGGTGCTGTTAGTTTGAATAGGCTTCTGGATTGATTGGCAAGCTCTTGCTATATAGGGGATAAACAAATGGATCTACTTGGATTTGGATTTAGGATTCATTCTTCTGGCTGGTAAAATCAAGCTGATGATTCTCACAGTTACCTCGGAACTGGTTGAGCATAACATGTTCCTAAATCCCATTCCCAGAAACTCTAAATTGAGAGATTGGAAATCAATATTCTTATATGTCCATATTATACCTGTGCTTGATGTAGTTCCCAAGCCTTTATTTGGACCCTACACAGATAATTGCAATTTCAAGACTTATTTATATATTTATTTTTGAGACAAGGTATTATGTAGTTTAGTTTCTTTGTTTGTTTTTTGGTACCGGGGGTCTGAACTCACTTGTACTTGCCAGGCAGGAGCTTATGTCACTGAGCTATATCCTTGTTCCCCACCCTCACTTTTTTAAACAGTGATTTCTGACTTAAGAACATTTGGTTTATGAACTTTTCACAGTATGAACAGACCTCACATTAGGAACATTTGTGGATACAAATAAATTACAAGAGTAGCTCATGTGTCTCCCAGACATTGTCACAGTGGTGCTGCTGTGTGCTTAGTGTACAGTGTGGTGTAGTATATAGTAATACAGTGCTCAGTAAGCCCAGGATGCAAGAAGCAAAAGGAAGAGCAGCGGTGGTGTGGAAGGAGTGCTAGAAGCCAGAGCAATAGCCATGGGGACAAAAGTGAAAGCAGTGAGGACTCAGGGGTTTGGACTTGGGAACAAACCCATATGAACGTTGCAGTTGGGGACTTTACTGTATTAGAAATGACCATGTTGTCTCTGGCCATACCACCCTGAACGCACCCAATCTTGTCTGATCTCAAGCTAAGCAGGGTCGGGCCTGGTTAGTACTTGGATGGGAGAAATGACCGTGTCCTGAATGTAAAAGGAAACTAAACTTCATGTATGCATGTCTGAGTGTGGACCAAGGAAGTTCTTTGTCCTGTAATAATTTGAAAGCAAGCCAGGTTATCCACTGATCTTTAGAACCACAAATAACATCAAGAGATAGAACTATAAAATGATATATCAGCAAATTCTATAAAATACTTGTTTTATGTGCTTTTTATAAATTTCTCCCAAAAGGCTTGGGTCATAGCTCTGTGATAGTTTGTCTACTGTGCCTAAGGCCCTGGGCTCAATCTCTCGCACAAGGGAAAACATTTCTCCTTTTACTTTTCTCGATTTTGTTTCAGTGTTTTTATGTCATCCATATGAATTGTTGGTAAGGCTGGGAGGCTGAGTACAGGTCAAAGGCAGAGGAGAAAGAGTAATTTGTTCTGTATTATGGTGCCTTTAGTTTTAGTTTAGGTGGATGAGATGTGGGAAGCTTTGTGAGAGTGCTTAACAGATGGTTCACAAATTAGTGTGGATCATTAAAGTTAAATCCAAAGTGACGTGTATGTGTGGGTGTGGGTATCTGGGGCTAGCCAGTATTTTAAGAGTCAGTACACAATGACGTGGGTATTATTTCAGCAAATTTTCTAAGAATTTTAAACGTGAGACTAGGTCTTGCTGTGTTGCGTACATTGGCCTTGAACTTCTGGCCTAAGCAGTCTACCTGCTTCAGTTTTTTGAGTAGCTAGGACTACGGGTGTGCAGCACTGCTACCGGCTTGGAGTTTACTTTGGCAGTGTGGTGTGATAGGAGCAGCAAGGTCAGCTGTGAGCTGAGTTGACCTTGGCTTTATTGCTGGGTAAAGGTGGGACCTTGATACCAATCTTTAAGACTTGAGAATCTTCTCTAGTTTTAGTAGTCAGTAACTTCTGTCTTGTCCATTCTTGTTTGAAAATATTATTTTAAAACTTCTTGGCTATCAGATTGTATCTTAATTTTATTGTTTGTTTTTATGTTTTTTGAGATGGAGTCTTGCTATGTAGTGCAGAATGGCAGTGGGCTCAATATACAGCCCAGGCTGGCCCCAAGTCATTACAGTACTGCCTCAGCCTCCGTTAGAATTGGAGGTGTGTGCCGCCACACTGGGTTTAATTATTTTTTGTAAATAATAATGGGGATTAAATGTAGCATCTTCCTTATTAAACTATACCCTAAGCTTTTTATTTTTATTTATATTTAAAAATTTATTTTATTATTATTTATTTATTTTTTTGGTCTTTTTAAGACAGGGTCTCACTATGCAGTTCAGGCTGGCCTTGTAGCCCAGGCTGGTCCCATACTTGCAAGGATCCTCCTGCCTCAGCCTCCCAGTGCTGGGGTTACAGACATGCATCTCCATGCCTGGCTATTGTAAAAAAGTTTTTTTTTTTTTTTTTGTCTTTTTTGAGACGGGGTCTCGCTATGCAGTTTAGGCTGGCGAGCTCACTTTGTAGCTCAGGCTGGTCTCAAACTCCCAACAATCCTCCCACCTCAGCCTCCTGAGTGCTGGGATTATAGGCATGAGCCACCACACCTGGCTCTATTTTTAAAAATTTTTAAAAATTGCTCAGGCTGGGCTTCAGTTTGCCTCAGTTTCCTGGAGTGCTAAAATTATAGGCAAGTTCCATGATGCCTGCTTCATTTTTCCTTTCTTCCTTTTGATGCATTTTAAAACTTGATGGAATACATAAAGAATACAAATTTTGACATTTTAAGTTCTATACTCTTAGCTTGTGAGGTCAGCATTGATTCTGCTGATGAGTAGAAATGCAAGGAAGAGCCTGCTCTAGAGGACTTGGGACTGTGTGGCTCCTGTTGCTGATCAGAATTTCTATATGGCTCCTGTTGCTAATCAGGATTAGCAAGTGATACCTGAATTACTCTCAAGTAGGACTTTTAACTTTTCTTCCTAGGGATTTTTGTGTGTTTTGAATTTTGCTTGAAACGTAGTATTACTATGCAGTTCATGCTGCTCTTGAACTTGATATGTAGCTCTAGCAGGGCCACAAACTCAAGATCCTTCTGCTGGGAGTAGCAGGTATGTGTCACCATGAGTAGCTTTTCTAGAATCAGATTTGGGGCAGAGGTTTATCAACATCCTCCCTTTTACTTCTGAATATCCTCCCTTTTACTTCCTGTTATTGTCATTGTACTAGTCATCCCCCCGCCCCACCATGCTGAGGGTTGTACCAAGCTACATCCCTAGTACTTCTATTTTGTTTGGAGACAAGGTCTAAGTTATTCAGGCTGAACTTGAACTTTTGATCCTCCTGTGTCAGCCTCTTAGAACACTGGGATTACAGACATATGCCATCACATACTCCCACAATTTAGTATATTTTAGTCATGTAACTATGTTTGTAAAGAAGTTTTTAGTCAGTGAAGATAGGTTTTAGTGGAAAAATATGTAGCATTTCATTGGTAAGTGTGTCATTTGAAAAGTTGCTACCATAAAAGTAATTGACATTGCCACTGGGAACTTTATCTAGCTAAAACCCCATGGAAAATAAATTTAAGACTATTAGTCTTGCTTTTTAAAACTGTACTTTATTAATAGCAAATAAAACAAGTTCTTGTAGCAAAATTCTTTTATCTCCATTATTGAAATGTGAGCAGATATTTCTTTGGTATGCTGATGTTTCCTTTTTAAGCCTAGGAAGAATGTTTTGTTTGGTGTTCTTTTGACATTTTGCTAACAGCCAATTCCTTGTGAAATATAATTTTGCTGGTTTAAATGTGAGATTTTAAAAATCTGGAATCAGTGTTCCTGATTGAAATATCTCTGCTGAGACTTACTTTTTACAAATTTGTCCTGCCATTTTGTGCCATGGGCCAAGTTTTGCAGTAGTGGCTTCAGATTTAGGCCTGCTCTGAAGTGTGGATTTTGTCTTTTTTTTTCCATACTGGGGATTGAAGTGTGGATTTTGAAGTCCCTGTCTCACATGTAATGCTCTTGTTGCTATCTTTTAACGTAATGGAAACTCATGAAGAGGAGTTATAGAGCTCGTGTGCCTTTTGCTGTCCCAGCTCTGGGAGCTGTGAGCCTTTTGCTTTATCATAGCGTTCCCGTCAGCTCTGGTTCCTGTTGAGAGGTGTGCTCTCTGTGCCTGCGCTTGTCTTAAGGGTTGTTTTATATTCATACTTGCCCTGGCCATTTGTGTGTCACCTGTCATTGCTAGAATGTCTCACATTGCAGGAAAAAGTGTGTGTTTATGGTTTGGGGGTGGATTCTGATACTACCTTTATGTTCTTCATGTGGAATGCTCTCATTTCCTTGGTTCTAAATATGACCAGCCAACTCCGCAGCAACAGATTTCCATAGCAACTTCACAGAGGAACAGTCTTGGACTCAGGAATAGCTGCCAAGATGTCTCAGTTGAGATGGGAATTCAAAGCTAGTAATGGCCTGTCCACAAACATGCTTAGCTGGGGAGATCAAACTGGGTCAGGGTGAGTGAGCATTTGGGTTAAAATTTTCCTACAATTGAACACCTTGGCCTAAGATTCACTTGCCTGACATCAGAACCTGGGTGGGAATTAGAAGTTCTGTACCTGTTTTAGGGATGTCCACAAATGCCCTTAACCTTCTTCAGTCACTGCCCCTGCAAGAGCCTGCCCGCCAGTCCTGCATGCACCAGTTACCCCTTCCTTCCCTAGGGCTGTTCTTGCTTCTTGAAGGGCTGTTCTAAACTCACCCTCTCTAGATTTGCTCTCCAATATTTGTTCTGCTCTGGACGAGACTGCTAGTATGTTGAGCCTAATGGGTGTGACTTTTGCTTTTCTTGCTGGTTCTCTAGTCTAAATACAAATTGAACGTGACACCTCAGTTTTCTTTCTTCCCTCCAGGTTTGGAAATGGTGCTTTTCTCTGTCCCCTCCAGTTCTTGGTGCTGATGGTGCTGAGGACAGGACTCAGGGCCTTGTGTGTGCTATGTGCAAAAGCCCTGCCACTCTACCACCTCCCTGAGCCCCCTTTGCTTTCCTTTTCTTCTTTCTTTTAGTTCGGTCCCTTTTTTTCCTTCTTTGTCTTAGCCTGTGAATATACATAGAGCTGCTTGCTCTCCTGGCTAAAGACTTCTAATTTTATGGGAAAAAAACCAATTTCCAACAAAATAGAATAACAATAGTTAATACGTTGCATATTTTCTTCAATATAGTTACTCAGAGTACAAGATAGGGGCATAAGAAGTTCTCCGAATGATTTTAGCACGAACCTTTCTTTTTAATGAAGAGAAACTAGTAGTATAGCTATCTTGTACTTTTTTTCCCTTTTCCCTTCTTTCCTTTCCCCCACTCTAGTTCTCTTTCCTTCTGAACAATGTCTTCCCATTTCACTGTATCTGTTCTACATTTTGGGCTTTATTTATTCTCAGTTTCTCACATCAGGGAGACAATATGATGTTTACATGTGAATCTTGATTTAGTTCCCTTGGGAGTGTGGTCTCAAGTTGCATCGATTTACTTGGAAATGTCTCAAGTTTATCCTTCTTTATGACTGAGTAGTGAGTGCTCTGTTGTATAAAAAGACCACCTTTTTATCCATTCCTCAGTTGATGGACATTTAGGTTGTTTCCAAGATCTAGCCATTACAAATTGTGCTGCTGTAAACGTGGGTGCACATATATCGCTGTGGTATGATGTTTTTTGTTGTTTGTTTTTGTTCTTATAAACATTTTTTTCCTCCAAATTTATTATGTTTTTCTGTAATGATGTGAAAAGTCTTCATTTCCCTTTTATCAAGTGTTGAAGTTCAAGAAGTCAGGTCTTAACCATAGGCTAATCTTCATCTCTTCAATGAGTTGTATGTCAGTTTAGCTTCATATATATGTATATTTCTTCAGAGATTTATACATCAATATATGTGTGTGTGTGTATATTACTACACAGATGTATAACAAGCCTTTTATCCTTATTTTACCACCTGAGAATACAACTTTAAGTATGTTTTACACAGCTGTTTTTGGTCAAGGTCATTTGCAAGAGCAAGTTGGTTTCTAAAGAAATCTGTGGATTCTCATTAGTTTTTTCCCCTGTATTCTGGTCCATTGGACCTAAAATTTCTTTCATTCTTTTTTTTTTTTTGGTACCAGGGATCGAACTCATGACCTAGCACTTGCCAGGTATGTGCTTAAGCCACTGAGCTAAATCCCCAGCCTAAAATTTCTTTTTTTTTTTTTTTTTTTTTTTTTTTTTTGTCTTTTTAGTTTTTATCGGTACCAGGGATCGAACTCACGACTGCCTGCTTGCAAGGCAGGCGCTTATGCCGCTGAGCTAAATCCCCAGCCCCTCCTAAAATTTCTTTTTAAAGAGCTTGTGGAAGGCTCTGTAAAAGCCCCTTTCTAGTCTTGCCTGGGATTTGGATCACTGAAAAATACTTGTTCACTTTCTCTTTCATCCTTTGGACAGAAGCAGGTGGGGTCTTCTAAATGCATTTCTTCTAAATGTGTCTGTTTTCGCTTTGGGGTCTTCGTTGGGGGAAAAAGGTCTACTGGCAGTGCCATGATTTATGTCAGTGGTGCCCAGGCCTCATGCATTTGCATTATGCATTTGTGATTGGTTCATTGTCTAGAGCTTGGATTGATGGTGTCAGTGCTCCACCCACATAGGGGTGGAGCCAGCATACAATGTAATGGCAGGAAGAAGGTGTGTGGCTATCTTGGCAGTTTCCACCTTGCTGTTTGCAGCAGCCATGAACTGCAGCCCTACCATGCCAACCTGCCTTGGAGCCAACTAAATATGAACTAAAACCTCCAAAAACTGTAAGAAATAAACCTTTCCTTTCCCAACTTTGGGTATCAGGTATTTCGTTTCAGCGACAAGTTAAAAATAACTAAGACAAAACTAAGAGTTTTGTACTGAGAGTGGGGTCATTTACTGTGACTGTACCTAACCATGTTTTTCGAGAGGCTTTAAAAATGGCTTATAGACAGTTTTAAAAGATTCAGACATGTTTCCTAGATACATAGAGCTGGAGCAGCTTAGGCTGTTCAATAAAAGAGATTCTGTTCAGAGCTCAACCAAAAAGCTGATAAAAAGCCTCATGATAAAGACCAAGATTGAGAGGTTTCTGCTTAAAAAGATTACTACATTGGTTGTTACACTCACCACGATGTGTGTTATGGCTTAGCCAATGTTTGTCTACATTTTGCTCATGTCCAGAGACTTTGCCTAAAACTGAGACTAAAGACAATAGACTGATTAATCTGACAAAAAAAATTCAAGACAGTCAAATGTTGAGGCTGTGACAGGGCTATTGTTGGAGGCTTTTAGCCAGCTTTATGTTGCAAATCAAAAACAACGCAACAAGATAATTTACAACTCTGTGAGTTTGGCCAAAAAAACAAAAAAACCCCACAAAAACATCTCCAATAAGACTATAGATTATAAAGACAGTTAAAACTTCCTTTATAGCCTCAAAACTACAAAAATAAAAAAAATTTGCTGATGTATTGCAGACGACGACGACGACGACGACGGTGGCGGCAGCGGTGGTGGTGGTGGTGGTGGCCAGGAGCCCCTGCGCTCAGTATGATGTTTTTAATTCTTACAGGAAGATACCCAGAAGGGTGAAGAGTTGGTTCAAGTGGGACTTTTAGTCCAGAGTTTTCCTTTTTTCTTTCTTTTTTTTTTTTTTTTGTCTTTTTCCTTTTTATCCGTACCAGGGATCGAACTCATAACTGCCTGCTTGCAAGGCAGGCGCTTATGCGGCTGAGCTAAATCCCCAGCCGCAAGTCCAGAGTTTTTGAGGAACCACCATAACTGATTTCCACGGTGGTTGTGCTAGCTTACACTCCCAGAAACAGTAGAGAAGGACCCATGTCTAACATCATATGTTAAACTAAAGTCAAAATGGATCAAAGATGTAAATATTAAAATGAAACCCGAAATCTACTGGAAGAGAAAATAAAAATCTTGAAGACATAGGTGCAGGCAGAGACTTCATGAACAAAACCCAGACCTCCTGAGAAATACTACAAAGAATGACTAGTATCTTACTAAAAAGCTTTTGCACACCAGGAAACTACCAACAGAGTGAGAAGACAGTCCAGAGGGAAAAAATTTCAGCCAGTTGTTCCTCAAAGAACTTGTATCCTTCTCAGGGATATAGCTCAATGGCATAAGTGCTTGCCTGGCAAGCATGTCATGAGTTTGATCTCAAAAATACTCATCTGAAATGAATACGCATGTCTCAAATGAGGAAGTACAAACAGCAAATATATGAAAAAGTGTTTTAATATCATTGGTCATTTGAGAGATGCACATTAAAACTACTGAGATTCCATTTCTAGAAAGAATGGCTATCATCAAGAAATCAATAACTAGTGCTGGAGGGGTTGTGAGGAAATAGATGTATTTCTTATAAAACTTAGTTTTGAAATAATTAAATTTATAAAATAATTGTAAGAATAATGAAAAGAGCTGAACATATGGCACACTCCTGTAATCCCAGCACTCTGGAGGCTGAGCCAGGAGGATTGTTCCATCCTGGGCTACAAAGTGAGCTCAAGGCCACCCTGAACCACATAGTGAGACCTTGTCTCAAAAAGACAGAAAAAAAAAAAAAAAAAACCTGAAAAGAATTGGGCATTGGTGGCACAGCTAAGGCAGGAGGATCTGAATCTGAAGTCAGTAGGAGGCAACCTGTGAGACCCTGTCTCAAAAAGGAACTAAGGTTGTATCAGCATGGAGACCTGGGTTCTCAATCCCCAATACCCCAATACCCCCCCGCAAAGAACCAAGAACTCAGATTGACTAATTATAAATATTTTCCCAAGTTTGCTGTATTTATTTGTCGAACCATTTTAAAATAAATGACAGATACCTTGTTCTTTTACTCTCAGGAAATGTACCCTGTATCCTAAGAGAAAGGAATTTTCATTTATAACCATAGTAGAGTTGTCAAAACCAGAAAACATCTTAATACAATATGTAATACAAAGTCCAAAATTTACATTTTATCTGATTTTTATCAAGTATCAGACCCTATAAGTGTTTTTATTTTTCTAGTCTGGAATCTTAATTCAATCTAATTTATTTTAAATTAGATCACTTATTACTTTTAGCTGTTGAGTCAGAGTCACCTTCAATCTGTGAACAGTTCCTTAGCCTGCCTTTGTTTCACATGACATTGGCATTTTATTTAATTTTATTTTTAATTAATTAATTTTTGTTTTTTTCAGACAGGGTCTCACTATATATTTTAGGCCAGCCTTGAACTCACTGGATAGCTCAGGCTGGCCTTGAACTTTGCAGTAGTCCTACCTTAACTTCCTGAGTGCTGGGATTATTGGGAGATTCTACCATGCCCTAGTAGATTTCAACTTCGTGTGAGTGTGTCACATCAGGAAATATGTGATGTCATTTGTCTCCATTGTTGGTGATGTTAATTTATTATTGTTTGTTAACAAAGATATTTAAACAAGGCAAAAGGTAATCATTTACTTTCTATATTCCCATAATCACCTTTTTATAGAATTATAATAATGCACATGCCTTTTGTTAGTGTATACTTTTTTTGCAAGGCAGGTGATTATGCCGCTGAGCTAAATCCCCAGCCCCTGTGTGTATACTTTTTTTTGGTACTGTGAATCAAACTCACGACCTCACCCTTGCCTGGTGGGTGCTTATATCCCTGAGCCAAATCCCCGACCCAGAAATTGACCTTTTTATAAACATACTTGTACAGGTTTCTTTCTTTCTTTCTTTCTTTTTTTTTTTTTTTGCTGGTAACCTCTAAATTGCCATTTTCTGTGGGCTTCTTTCCCTTATCAAAACATGTCATCCCCTAGTGGTCTTTTGTGGGTTTTTGTTTTATTTTTTTGGTTGTTGTTTCCTAAATGTACCTCTCCCTCAGTATCAACTCCTATAATATTCAGATTTTTCTTTTTTAATTCTTGCTGTGCAGTTCAGGCTGGCCTTGAGTTCACTATGTAGCCTGGGCTGGTTTTTAAACTTGCAGTGATGGGCCAGGGATTTAGCTCAGTAGCACAAGCACCTGCCTAACAAGTGTGAGGTTGTGAGTTCCATCCCTGAGCTTGCCGTCATTCTCCTGCCTCAGTCTTCTGAGTACTGGGATTACAGGTATGTGCACCATGACTGGCCCATTTTCAGATATTTTGTAGTTTTTTGTAACCAGGCCCCCTTTTCTGGAGATGATTTCATCATTTCTGTCAGACATCCTGGCTCTTGGCTTTTAAACCTCTTTGCTTGACTGTCTCGCCCTCAGTCCTCACATCTGAGCTGCTGTCAGGACAGTAGTAGGTTGAGACACTCTTGGCCAGTCTTTTTTTCTCTCTGTCTTGGCCAGTCTTGGTCTTCCTTCTCCTCCTTGTCTCGCATCTCGTGCTGAGAATTTTTTTTTTTTTTTTTTTTTTGTCTTTTTTCGTTTTTATCGGTACCAGGGATCGAACTCACGACTGCCTGCTTGAAAGGCAGGCGCTTATGCCGCTGAGCTAAATCCCCAGCCCCAGCCCCTGAGAATTTTCTTAATTGCCCACATCCTGTTCAGTTTCCCTGGCCACACATTTAAGGTGTTTCCTTCTACTTTGTCTTTCTCCTCTTCTCACCTGTTGTGTTCCCTCCCCTGGGCCTCCCAGAACCCTTCTGATGGACCTAAGTGGCTCATATGGCCAGGCCCTCTGCACGTCTCTTTCCTGACTGCTCCCTGCCATCCTTGGGTGACCCTCGCTTCTGCCTGGGGACTTGGGATGGGACCGGACTGGTGCTGCAGTCTCCTAACACAGCACATGCCTTCCATTCTCAGAGCAGAGCTCATGTTGCTGTGAAGAGTTTCCTCAGCTCTGGGCACAGAACGGGATGTGAGGGGGGATGCTGTGGAAGGTCAGGGACTAGTCTGGTCCTCTCCCACCTCTTGTGCATGTCTTTGACCTTTGGCCATGTGCCCGCCTCTGGATCTTAGTTTCCTCATCTGAATTGTTCTTCAAACACCACATGGCCCCCTAATCCCCTTCTGGTTTTGTAGAAAATGTGAGGCCTTTAAGGAAGCCCCTCAAGAGGAACGGAAGTTAGTGGGACAACTCCTTTTCATCGGTGAGAGAAAGGCTCATTTGTCAACTTGCAGGAAGCTGCCTGCTGGAGCGGTCTGGATGGGAAGACCAATGGTCATCAGATGCTTGTTCCATTTTCTCCCTGGACCCTGTCTTTAATGTCTTTTTGTGACCTGGCTTGCTCAATTCCTCACACACACTTTTCAACGACTGGAGTTAAAACAACCGTGATTCCTTATTTTAGGTCCAGACGAATGTCTGCTGAGGACTTAGAGGAGAGCCCGCAATCTGAACAGGTAAGCAGATTGTCACTGTGATAAAGGGCGAGGGCATTCCAGAGCCACCCAATTTGACCAACACTCATCAACATAGCGGTTCACTGGTCTCGGCTGCCACCGTTGTAAAGTCAGCGATTTACAGGGCCAGGTCGGTAACCTACGTGTGTGCTGCAAGCAGACTGGCTCTCCCTTTTAAAGTATTACATGGGCCAGATGCAATATGAGGCTGTCAGTTCATAGCCCCTGTGTGGGCTATACTTAATTTTGTCCCGCAAAGCTGTAATAACGATGACATGGGCTATATGAACTTTTGTATGTATTGAATATCTGTTAAGTACCCCCAGGGAAGTGAGTAATATAGAAATAATTAATACAAGTTAAGGTAAATTAATATGCCCTTACCTTTAAAAAAAAAAGCTTACTATAATATGAATGACAACAAGAGCTGTCATTTATTCCGAAGCCACCTGGCTGGAGTTTTTTGTTTTTTTGGTACCAGGAGTCAAACTTGCAACCTCACGGTTGCCAGGCAGGCACTTGTGCCACTGAACTATATCCCTGGTCCTTGGCTGTGGTTTTATATGTATTCATTCATTTATGTGTCAACCACAGCCCTGTGGTTCTCTTATTTTATGGATGGGAAAATTTGTGCTGAAACCAGTGATTTGGTATGCCCCAAATAAAGCAGCTTGCACATGGGAAGCCAGGCAGAATGTTAACCTAGAGCTCTGAGCTCTGTGGCCATGTGCTTCTCTTCACACCATGCTGTCTGCATATGTGCTGTGAGTGGGCGAAATGAACAAAGAGCCTGGGAAAGTGGAGGTGGCAGTAATGGTTCTCACTGAAAGTCCAAGAAATGCTCCTGGGGGGTAGTGCCATTTGAGCCAGACCCAGAGGAGTAGATGGAAGTTCCTCTCTGCAGCTCAGGCCTGGACTGTGCAGAGGGGAAGGTGTGAGGTGGAACACTTAGTGTGCTGGGGATGGTGGAGAAGAGGTGACTTGCTTGGAACTGAAAAGAGAGGTAGGGCTGGAATGTGAAGGGCTCTAACAGTCATGGTGGGAGTCACACGGAGGGTGTCAGAGCAGAATGAAGTCATCATCATATGCGCATTATAGAAAGATGACTGATTCTGGCATTTGGAGGTGGTTTGGAAGGGATGGCCAGCCTCTGTCTTAGGGGACGTCATTCTCTTTGTCCCGCAAAAGGCCAGATTAGAGTAGGGCAGGCATTGGGAGAGGAAGGGCTCTATGTAGGAGATGGCACTCAGTAACAATACATAGGAAATAAGAAGGCAGTACAATGGTGCTGAGATTCTAAATGTGGGGTCTGGGTAGATAGATGGTGAGAGCATTAATTCTTGTGTTTGCTGGACTTCATGAAGGCAGGCACTCTGCTTTGTTGACTGTTGTAACCAGGGTTGGCACCCAGCAAATGTGTGGAGACTGTGAGTGAATGAATGAGCACTCGTGGGAGGATGTACACACAGGTTCATTGTTTGGGGTGCTTACTCTCCCAAAGTTAGGGGACACAATCCAGAGCTCACTCCACCATACTACTATTTTCAGTGCTGGAACTGAATTAATGGGTTCACAAGTACTGGGCCACTGTGCTACAACCACTGAGCTATGTGTCAGTGCAGTCTGTATCTCCCTTCCTTCCCCTTCCCTTCCCTTCCCTTCCCTTCCCTTCCCTTCCCTTCCCTTCCCTTCCCTTCCCTTCCCTTCCCTTCCCCTTCCCTCCCCTTCCCCTTCCCTCCCCTTCCCCTTCCCTTCCCTTCCCCTTCCCTTCCCTTCCCCTTCCCTTCCCTTCCCCTTCCCTTCCCCTTCCCCTTCCCTCCCCTTCCCTTCCCTTCCCCTCCCCTTCCCCTTCCCTTCCCCTTCCCTTCCCCTTCCCCTTCTCCTCCCTTTCTCATAGTGCTGAGTTCTGAACCCAGGCCCTTTACACTAAGCTACATCCTCAACCCTTTTTAAATGTTAATCAATTTTTTTGAGACAGGGTCTTGCTCTGTAATGCAGAGTAGTCTTTTACTCGCTTATGTTGCCCAGGCTGTTCCCGAACTCACAAACAGTCCTCTTGCATCAGCCCTCTGAGTGCTGGTATTACAGGTGTGTGCTCCCACACCTGGTCGGTCCTTTGTTATTTTTGAGCCAGTATCTTATTAAGTTGCGCAGGCTGGGCTCAAAGTTGAGAGCATTCTGCCTCAGCCCCCCGGATTGTTGGGTTATTGGTGTGCCCCACTACAGCTGAGCTAGATTTTTGTTTGTCTTCCTAAGCCTAAAAGTGAAGTGATTAAGTAGAATTTACTTGTTTTTTATCAGTTAGTAACACTGTAACATTACTTAGCTTGTTCTTCCCGAAAATATTCTGTCTTTAAATAAGATGCACTGAGAAATGTGTGGCATAGGAGATTAGCCCTCTCAGTCCTTGGTTTTTGTCATCATTCTTTTTCCAGCTGTCTATCCCAGATGAACTTCAGGACAAGGAGGCTCCCAGATCCCCACAGCCTGTCGTCCCTAGCCCTATTCCTGACACCCCACCAAGCACGCAGCTGTTTACTGGGCTGCACCTGGCTGAGATGGAGAAAATGTTGGAGGATGGCACTGGCTCCACTAGAGGTAAAGCCGCTTCTGCATAGGACCCGGCGTCTGGGGTGTGTGGAGGCCTCAGATCTGACAGCCCCTTCCTCTTTAGTGCTCGGGATTGAAGCCAAGATCCAGGGCTTTTGCACTGAGATACATCTGCAGTCCTTTATTTACTTACTTTTTGGGACAGGATCTCACTAATTTTTCCGGGCTCTTGAACTTGTGATCCTCCTGCCTCAGCCTCCTGGAGTACTGGTGTTACTTGGTGCACCACCAAGCCTAGCTCTGACAAGTGTTTTTGTGTCTAGTGTCTTGTTTAAAACTTTTAATCATTGTGTAGATTGCATAAACATTGGAAGCTGTTTGAGATCTAGAACAAAACATACCCGGTCCACATGCACCTAGTCCAAATACGCCCACATGTAACCACTAAGCACATTTTGGTGCATTCTTCCAGTTTTGTATGTGGTTTATTATCTGCTCCTGTGGACAGCAGTGCTGCTGTCTTGGTGGCTTGATCCAGCACACACTTGCTGTCTCACAGTCCTGGTGTGTCAGGAGTGCGGACATAGCTCAGCTGGTGATTCGGCTCACAGTCTCTCAGAGCTGAAGTCAGGTTGTCAGCTGAGGCTGCAAGCCTTATGTGGAACTTCATCAGCAAGAACCCACTTCCCAGCTCACTGTCTTGTTGGCAGACTTCATTTCCTTACAGGTGCAGTACTGAGGGCTTCCATGTCTTCCCAGCTATTGGTAATAGGCTACCTTAGCTCCCGTGAAGCTGGGAGTTCCTGGCTGTGTGGGGCTCCCCAACACTGCTGCTGGCAAGGCTCAACCCAAGGTGGTGGAGAGCAACTCTAGCAGGACATGATCTCATAGAACAGAGTCCTGTAGTAATGTGTACAGAGAGCCATATACCTTGTCTGTCACCTGTGTCAAGTTTTGTTGCTAGACTAAGTCACCACCCCACCCCCTACTCAGCAGGGGACACCACAGGATAGCACGAACACTGGGAAGTTGATGTCTCGAGGGCCTGATTAAGTCTGCACCACAACTGACCATGCATGTTTTTATATGTCTGTAGTCACACTGTACTGATGCTCCTTGACTTACCACAGGGATGTCCTGATTGATTACTGTAATTTGAACATGTTATAGGCTGAGGAGTCATTTAATGCACTTGACCTATCAACCATTGCAGCTTAGCCTAGCCTTACTTCAAGGTGCTCGGAATACTCACAGGAGCCTACAACGGGGTAAAACATATAACACAAAGTATGTTTCATAATAAATTTATTTACTGGCTACTGTGGTGACAGTGAAAATAGCAGTTACTTGTCTATTCATTGTGCAGTTGGAAAATCCTAGGTTGGGGACTGTGTTTATGTACTGTATGTCATTTCAGACTCTTCTTTTTCACTACTGTTAATTTTAAGGACATTTGCATGGTGCTGTGTAGACTTCTGTGCTGTCATGGACTTCTCTGCCATTGCTTGGCTCCAGCGCAAACCAGGACTTGAGTGTCCTAAACTTAGTTTTTAGCAAGGTGTTCTCCACCTTGATTCTCACTTTATATATATATCTTGGAAGTATTTTCATAAAAATGTAGTGAGACCTTCCTCACTTTCACAGACACTTTAACGACCACAGACCATGGTGTTAATTGGGAAATGGATCCAAGAGTTCTATGGCAGACTACACCATCCCCTTATTTTTGCATATTCAGGCTATATTTTCTTTCTGTAAAGCTTAATTTCTACTCCTTGGGATGAAACTGCTCAGCATAGGGATTTCTAGGGACACTTGGGGCCTGTGGGGTGCAGAGTGACTGGAGTGCCACTGTCCTCTCTCTGAAGCCATAGACCTGGAAACTTTCATCAGGAGTATGAAGGTTCTGAGCAATGCGTCAGAGGAGGTCCTGGAGTCGGTGTTTTTCAAGGTGGATTCGGATGGTACTGGCTTCATCACCTGGGTGAGGAGGTGTCCCTGATGTCTCAGGTAGCTGAGTGGGTGGGGCTGGAGGTAGAGTCCTTGTCAGGGGTGTGAAGATGGGCGGGCAGTGAGCATCAGAAAGCCTCCCTGTGTTCTGCTTCAGCTGGGGTACTTGCCAGATAGAGGGAAGCAGTGGTGTTATGATCACAGCTCATTCACTTCGTTGGGTGGGAGAATATACAGTATGTGTCAGTGGCCTCTGTGTAAGGCCTCTTTGGACATCCCCACCTGCTGTGTGGCTCTCCTGCACGTCCACCTCGAGGGATCCAAAGCAATGCCAAGGCCATTTATGGTCACTTAGGTACAGGCCAACCTGTGTTAGTAAAATCCAAATATGTCAGGTTTATGGAATAGTAATAATGATTTTGTTATTTCTGATTCTAAATATATTCTCAGAGGTAGGTATGGTGATACATGCCTACAATCCCTACACTTGGAAGGCTGGGACAGGAGGAATGTAAGTTCAACGCCAGCTTAGACTACATAGTGAGACCCTTTCTCAATGCCCCCCACTCTACACCACCCCCCTAAAAGTTCTACAAGGAGCATAAATAGCATCTAAATATACAGAAAGCTACATAATCTCATCTGAATCAGACATGGTAGCACATGCTTGTAATTCTACCTCTCTGGGAGGCTGAAGCAGGAAGACTGTAAGTTCGAGCCCAACCCGGGCAACATAGCAAGAGCCTGTCTTGAAATAAAAATTTAAAAATGGACTAGGGAAATAACTCATTGTGAAGACCCCGAGTTCAATCCCCAGTACTGCAAGCAAAAACAAAGCAAACCTCCCAAAACATAGTCTTGATACATTTATGTAGTAAAGATGACAAGATTATCTGGACATTATGCTAAATATGTGTTATTTTTGCTTAAACTTCACAAGAATCTTATGGGGTGGGTGCTGTTTGACAGGTTTGAAAAATTGAGTCAGCAAACTCATCTAAGGTTACAGAGCAAGTTGGGCCATTAGTCAGACTCAAAGGTCTACCTCAAAGGTCCCTGTGTGTCTTAGTTACTTTTTACTCATTGTTGAGGCAAAATACCTGATGCCCAAAGTTAGGGAAGAAAATGTTTATTTCTTATAGTTTTGGAAGTTTCAGTCCACACTCTTGGCTTTGTGGCCGCATGGCATGGCGGGGCAGCCATTGATAGGGCTGCTGCAAACAGCAAAAGCAAAAGCCAAAAGAGTGAGACACATCTTCTTCCTGCAGCAGTTACATCATATCCTGGCTCCACCCCCAGGCGAGTGTAGCACTCACGTCGCCAGTCTGAGAGTAGACCATGAATGAATCACAAATGCTAGATTTGGTTGCATCCATAATTGCATGAGGCTTGGGGGCCACTGACATAATCCATGGCACTGTTAACTACCATAGCATACCTCCCTTTGGTTTAAGTATTCAATTCAGGTTCTATTTTATTTCTATTTGGTCTTTTTGAGATGGTTTCACTATGCAATTCAGGCTGGCCTCGAACTCACTTTATAGCCCAGATGGGCTTTGACCTCACAGTGATCCTCTTGCCTCAGTTTCCCAAGTTCTGGGATTATAGGTGTGTACCACCACGCCTGGCCAGGTTTTAGTTTTTAAAATTTTTTTTAGCTTTTATTTTTCTTAACATTCTATAATGTATTTCCAGCATTTGTCTACTCAGTGCTTGTGCTGTGCCCCTCGCCCCAACCTGGAGATTGAGCGCAGAGCCTTGTGCATGCTAAGCAGCCACTGAACCATAGAACTACATCCTCAGTCCTGTTTGTTGTTTGCAGTTCTAGGGATCGAATCCCGAGAGCCCTGAGCTATATCTCCACGGCCTCCCCTACTTCCTTTTAAGACAAGGCCTCCCTAAGTTGCCCAGGCTAGTGTTGAACTTGTGATCCTTGTTTCAGCTTCCTCACTAGCTGGGATTACAAATGTGTGCCATTATGCTCAGAACAATGATCCTTCATAATAACCCCTTTGTTTCTTTTAAAAATTGTTTAGTTTTTTTTTAGGAGTAGGAAAATTTATTGGCAAAAAGAAAGGGGACTAGGGATGGGGATGGGAAATAGGAATAGCTCCTGAGAGACAAGAGGGGTCCCAAATAGGTTGCTTGGGTCTTGCTATCTTGTCTAGGCTGGTGTTGAACTCTTGGGCTCAAGAAATTCCCCCTGCCTCGGCCTTGTGAGTAGCTAGTCTACAAGTGTACACTACCACACTTGGCTCCTGTTTCTGTTTATAGCTTGTTTTGGCCCCAGCTATGTTACCATGAGGCTGGTCAGTATTGTCCTACTGGCCCGAGGGTGAGAGTTAGGGTTAATTCATTATGTGAACCCACATCTGTTATTAACTTGGAATATGAACTCAAGCAACTCATAAATACTTACATGGGTCGTCTTATCCACAAAGTAGAGGTGAATAAAGAGCATCCAGTTGAGATGCCAGGCATAGAGGTGAAGCCAGATTTATTTGCATTGCAGACACAGCTAAGGAAGAAAGGACTGCCCTCTTGTCTTCACAGATGGCTATCATAACCCTTCCCACATTCAAGAGCCAAGCACAGGCTGTTGCTTGGCCACTTATTCTGGCCAAGGCTTGGAAGCAGCCTCCACAGCCCCTGATAGCTAATGCTGAAACACCCTCTCTCCCTTGCCTTGTATTTTGAGCAGCCGAAGTATATAAACTACATGATGCGTGAGTTCCAGGGCCTGGAAGAGATGAGGAAGAGCCAATACCGCCTCCGCTTCCACCTTCCCATGCGGATCGTCCCCGTGTAAGGAGTGCTTCCCTGGGCCGTGCGGAGTGACTGAACTTGGACCAGAGTTGCTTGCCCCGTCTTAAGTTCCAGGGATAGTCTTTTCCACTCTTCTGCCCTCTGCTTATCTACTCACTCTGCTAGATGTATTCATTCCACTAGACTTTTTGGCTTCACTGGTTGTATTGTTTCTTTGTAAGATATTCTTTTTTTTTTTTTTTGTCTTTTTCCTTTTTTTATCGGGCTACATAATGAGTTTAAGGCCAGCCTGTACTATAAAGAGAGATGTTATCTCAAAACACAAAACAAAACAAAATTCATGACCGCAAAGTCAGCACTCAAAAAAATTCTCAAGAATATCTTACAGGGCTGGGGATTTAGCTCAGCGGCATAAGCTCTCACTTGTCACGTCTGCCCGTCATCTGTGTCTGTCTTTCACTGTCTGTTCAGAGCAATGGGCCCAGGGTGGGAGAGGGGGCTGTGTCCAGATATACGTTCCCCGCTCTTCTGCAGTGCCACAGCAGCAGCCAAAGCCCACACGTACGGGTTGTCTCTGGCTTTGAGTCAGATGATGCCCACAGCAGGGCCTGGAAAGGGCTCTGAAGGTGAGTGGAAGGCACTTGATTTGGTTGTAGCGCTGCTGGTAACCAGCACACTACTGTAAGCAAGTGAGTTTCCCTGAGTCCCTGATAGGTCCAGAGATGAGCAGGTAAAGTGGGAGAGTACGTGTGATGCCACATCAGGAAGTCCACATGGTGTCGGCCCTTGATGGCCAGCTGGCTAGTGAATTTTGGGGTAGGAAAGAGCCCACTGAAGAAGCATTAAAGTTTGCTGAAGTCTGTGGAACAGCGAGATCTATTCGCTCTGCTCAGTGTATGTCCTGGAGGTGAAGAGTGGGATGCACAGGGTGTCCCTAATTGCTCTCAGTCTTGGTCCCCATTCCCCACTTTACCCCAGAATAGTAGGTCGGTGGCTAGAAAGTGCTATTTCTCATTTCCACCACAGGCCCCACCCTGCTCACTTTCAGTGGATCACTTTTTCCTATAATAGCGGCTTTGCAGAAGACCTTTACTCCTTGTCCCCTCTGTCTACCACATCATGAAGGAATTGGCTTATTTCTTGGGGTGAGAAATCTTATACTAGCATCATGCTTGGCTTTTTGGTCTCTCTTTCTTCCTCTCCTCTCTCTTTCTTGTGCTATGCGTGGAACGTAGGACCTTCATGTGCTAAGCCAGCGCTCTCCCACTGAGCCACATGCCCAGCTCCCACTGGGACTCCTTTTCTTTTGGCTATCATTGACCCAGTGCAAGTTCACCTCGGGGAGTAGGCAGAGTCCCAGATCTCCTGGAGCCAGCCTCAGTTTCTTGTTCTGTATCTGTGAGCACCTGAGTGAAGGTGTTCCTGCTTGCTTTTAGCCCCCCTCCACAGCGGTTCTTTGTTCTGATGCAGATGCCCCTCCTTTCTGAGCTGTTTCTGCTTGTTTCTCACTGTCCACAGACGGCATGGATGTGAGATCGTGAAAGTAGAGGTTTCAATACAGCGGTTCAAGAATATCAAGTGTTTCCTGACTGTCACCAAGAATGGGGTCCTGCAGTTCTGGTCCGACTCCTTCTTGCTGCTTAGCTCCTTTAGGGTGAGTGGGGCTGACACATGTGGAGCTCAGGTGGGTGGGGGAGCTGCAGAGCTGTTTTTTAGTACCCAGCAGTGGAGGTAACTTGTGTCCATCATGGGCTTGCTCTTGGGATCCTGGTCAGGGCAGCCTGGACTTTGGTCACAGGACTTGGGCCCAGATTCTGGCTTCACCTTGGGATCCTTGTACTTGTCTTCTGCTAAGCAGGGCTTCACTTGGATGTCCAAGCAATATTGCCAAGCAAGCTTGTGCAAACAGCATTTCACTCGTTCCCCTGCCCTCAAGGCTTATTTCTCTTGAGTCTCCTCAGTGGGTAGCATCATCATCCAGCAAAGTGCCAGAGCTAGAGCTCAGCCTCATTTCCTTTCCCTGCCATACTAGATCATCCCCAGATCTGCCTTTTGCCTGGGCTGGGCAGAAAATACCCCAGTTGTGAGTGTGGGCACTGGAGCCCGACCTTCATGGCTAGGATCCTGGTGGTACTACCTACCAGCCCTGTGCCCTGGCCAAGGCACTGTATGGCTCCTTCCACCCTACATCTGTTAGATGAGGTTTTAGGTTTCACATGGCTGGAGCAAGCCAGCAGGTGCTGTCCTCCAATGTGCTCTCTTCCCGGGCCCCAGCCTCCTCTGCTCTTCCTCTTGCAGCTCAACCAGACCCATCAGCCCCACAACCAGCAGATGTGGGTCATCGACCTGGTGTGCCTGTACAACATGAACCTGATTGCGGTTTCATCTACTGAACTGAAGATAGGTGAGTCCCTAGAGCCTCCCCAAGCCTGCTACCCCGGGAACCACACATTTGTAGTTAGGAGAGATCTGTTGGCTAAGTAACCATGAGCAGGGATAAGAGCGCTCTGGGAGAGGTGGAGAGGCCTTGGTAATCAGAGGCGCTTAGTGAGGACCTGCGTGTGGTAGGTGCCACAGGAAGGACTGAGATGGTCAATACTGTTGACTGCCCGGGCCCGTTTGGAGACAGGTGATGCTCAGTGAATGCTGAGTGAGTACGTGGACAGCAGACAGATCCAAATGTATAAGCCAGAGGCCGTAAGGAGACGGCCTTCTGCCCTGACTCTCCCTTCTCTCTCTGCTGCTCCCTTCATTTCTCACTTGAACAGCATTGAAGCTTTCTCTTGTTTGCCATATTGTTTCTCAAGGCTCCGGTAGCAGCTAGGAGAATCTCTTTTGTTTTGTTTTTGTTTGCTTGTTGTCTTTTTGAGACAAGGTCTTGTTATGCAGTTCAGGCTGGCCTTGAGCTCACTTTGTAGCCCAGGCTGGTCTCGAACTCACAACAATCCTCCTGCCTCAGCTTCCCGAGTGCTGGGATTACAGGTTTGAGCCACCAAGCCTGAGAATCTCTTTTTCTCTTTGCTGTTTTTCTACTTTCCTCCCTCCAGGGATTGAATCCAGGGAGAACTAGCTGTATTGTTATAGTTGATACATTTTGTCAACTGGAGAAGTTTAGAAACTTAACCAAGAGACCCAGCAGGGAGCCAGGATCCTTACTTTGTAAATATCCTGTGCCAAAGAAGACTAAGGCACAGAGGTAGTAGGACCTGGACAAGGGGTTAGACAATATAAGGGAGGAGAAGAGGCTTGTTCCGCCTCCTTTTGTTCTGGTTGCATTTGCTGGCTGCTGCCTTGAAGTGTTGCCCCAGTGCCATGCCACCCTGCCTTGGAGCCAGCTGATTAAGGACTGAAATCTCCACAAACACTGAGCTAAATAAACTTTTCCTTCCTTCTTTATGGATGTTAGGTATTTTGACCCAGTAACGAGAGAAAAGGAGCCAAGACACATTCCCAGTCCTTTTTATTTTTATTTTTTATTTTGAGGGTCAAACTAAGTTGCCCCGGGTAGGCTTGAACTTGTTATCCTCCTGCCCTAGCCTCTCAAGTAGCTGGCATTCCAGGCATGAGCTATTACTAACTGGAGGAGCTTTTGAAATGTCTGTTTTCAGAAAGCTCTCAACTTACCCCATTGCTCTTAGGATGGGGGTGGGATCTTTATGATGGTTCACAGGGCCCTGTTGGCCTTTGTTTTTTTCTTCTACCTTTTGTGGCCTCCTCTCACTTACTCCAGTGGACACCATGGCCTCTGTGTGCTCTGCTGTCTGTCCTGTACCTCTCTCTACTCCACAGCTCCTACTTTTCCTTTGGGTTTTGTCTCAGATGTCATTTCCTCCAGGAAGCCCTCCATGACCACCTGTCCAAGTCAAGTTCCTCTGTTAAAAGGATCCTCTGGGTGCCATCCCTCTTCCCTTCAAGGTCCCATTTGAGTGTAGTCGTAGACTTCTTACTGTCCTGCTGTTTTGTGTCTGTTTCTTCCTTTAGACCAGTACCTTGGTAAGTCTGGGAGTGCGTCTGTTCCACTCTGCTCTGTCTCACTGCCTGGTGCTCCTGTATGCTTGGTGCTTTGAGTGGGTGATAGATGAGTGAGTGAGGAAGGGTCCAACACCACATTCATAAAGCCAGGGAGAGAGGATTTATGTGCAAAACCGCAGCACACAGGGCAAGACTAAGGGGGAGGACAGAGAGTAGCTGTTCTGGAGCAAGACTCTGGTTTTGCCACTCAGCAGATTTGTGACTTTGGGCAATTACTTTACTGCCCAGTGCCTCGGTTTACCCAGAGGTAAAAGGGGGGCAGTAGTATGTATGCCCAGGGTGAGTGTGCTTGGTGGTTAGGTATGTGAAGCATCTGTTGTAGTGGCTGGCATATAGTAGGTGGCTGGTTGCATTTGTGAGTAGTGAACTCATTATGAGGACAAGTTGTGTGATATAGAGAAGCAGTCAGTCATCGGCAAGGGCTTGAGCAGTCAGGGCTGGTGGTGTTCCAGGAGTGGTCCATGTCCTCCTGAGAGGACCCTTCATCCCAGCCCTCCTGTCTGAGTAGCTGGCGTCTCCACTTGGCCAGGCCAGAGGTGGATGTGGCACCAGTAGGAGCTGTGCTCTCTGTAACCCCAGGCGAGCCAGCCCTCTTGTGCCTTGCAGCTCCTGGCCCTGTATGGAGGCAGAGGGGTGAGAGTCTGCATTCAGATGAGGAAGTCGGCCCAGCAGTGAGCCACTCATTAGTGGCTACAAAGAGGAAGGAACCAGATTTAGGAGAATTTCAATTTAAAGCATCTGCCTACATTGGAGGCTTTTACATTTCCAAGAGATGAGTCTGGCAGGGGCTGGTGCAGGATCCATAGTGTGGGAAGCAGCGAGCCTGCAGGAACCAGCTCTGCACACTCCCCTTTCCCTGCGGAAGTTCCCTGTGATATGCCTGTGCATAAACCACTTAGCCTCTAACTGTCTGGGTTTTGAGACAGTGGGGTGAGCAGTGGAGTGGGTGGGTGACGAGGATGTGGGCTGTTTCCCTCTGTGCCCTGCACCTGCAGGGATGCACAGAGTGAGTGTGAATGGCCAGCTGAAGTCAGAGGGACAGAGGCTTCTAGGTACCTGCAGCACCCAGGGCTCAGTGCTTGCTCCTTTATTTGCTTACCACATTTTTAGCACTCAGAAAACACCTGCTGAGCCCTAGTGTTGTGCTAGGCACTGAGATGACCACAGGACATCATACAGATGCTCCTTGTCCACACTGAGCTCACATTCCAGAGGAAAGGCAGCACCTGGGGCCCAAACAAAACAAACAATTTATTAGAGGTTGATGGCAGGGACCAGGTTAGGTGAGGAAGATTTCTGAGAAGGGGCATGGCACTGAGCTAGTGTTCTAGGTGGAGGGAACAGTGAGTGAGGAGACCAGTGTGAGAGGGGAAGGTGGAAGCAGTGGCGGCCCCATACAGTGGGGGAGATGGAACCGTGGAGGTCTGCAGGTCCTCTCACACAAGCTCTGGCAGCCTGTGGTCGGGCGCTGGGATCTTATCCTGGCCATCTGGAAGCCGTGGGGGAGTTTGCAGCGGGTTCTGGCTCAGTGAGTTTATGGATTCAGTTGCAGGGCAAGGGCTGAAGGGCCCAGGGAGATGCTGTGTGGCTGCTCAACATCTCCAGACCCCATCCTGACCTACGTGTGAGTGTAGGATCCAGGAGTGTCCTCTCTTCTGTCTTCTCCAGAGTTCTTCAATATCAGTAACTATAAATGTGTCCGGGCCTTCACGTTTACTGAACTGGACAGCTGCATCCTGGTCATGAATTACTGGTGAGCCCCAAAGGAGTTGGGTGGAGGGTCTTGGCAGCTGCCACATCACTTGGGGGGTAAGGCTGGGGCCTCAGAGAGGCTTTGGGAATAGGCTTGGGAAGATCTGTACAGCACTGGTTCTGGGTCCTGTGTCTTCTTCCCGTCAAGCTACTGCTGTCTTGGGGGCCACCTTTAGGATTACTCTGACCTTGGAGTAATAGTCATTTCCTCTCCTTCCTCCACTTAGGCATCCAGCCCTGGGCCTGATGTGGTTGAGTACTCTGGGAACATCATAATCTTAGGGAGGGATGACTTGTCAAAGAGAAGTTGGAAGACTAGAGTTTACTTAATTTTGGTCAAAACAAAATAATTGAATTTTGGCTCAGTGGTGGCTTGTATCTGGGCCACTGGACTTGTCAGCATGGCAGAGGTATAGGGCGAGGTCCAGGCCTGTGGGAAGTGTCCTCTTTGCCAAGGTGGAGGGGGATGTTGGAGGGGAGCAGGACAGGTGAGACTCCACAGCCTCCTCTGTCTCTTATCTTTCCTCAGGTCTGATTATCACAAAGGTGTGTTCTGTCTCGGGGACACAAAGGGCAATGTCATTGTCTTCACCTCGGACAATGTGGCCAATGGGCTGTTCAATCCAAGAGTCCTTCCTTGGGCCTCCAGATTGGGTAACTAAGAGGGCTGGGAATGGGGCTAGGCCTGTAATGAAGGTAGGAGCAGGTGTTGAGCTCTCTTGGCCCCAGAGGCCCTCTCCCCTCTCAGTGCTCTGGACTTCAGAGCTCAGAGAGTATGCAGCCCACTGGGCTTAGTGGCCCAAAGGAGATCAAAGGAGGGGCAGTTTCCTGTATGCAGGAGCTTGTGCAGGTTGTGGTGGTGGTGGGGAGTTGCTGCAGGACCGTCTTAATCCTAAGCAGAGTGAAACATATGGCTGTGACTTGGAGAAATTCCTCATGCCTCTTGAGACTGGGCATCCCAGGAACTTGCTTAGGTGACTCTAGATGGCTTCTGCTCTCTTTGGACCTGTACTTTTGGGTGGGTTGGGTGTGTGGGTTCTAGGGGCCTGGGAGGACTGTGTGACTTGGCAGGAACATGAATAAATTTGGGTGCATGCTTTCTACAATCTCTGCCCACTGCCATGAGGGATGCTATTGTTACAGCCCCTTGAATCCACTTGTACACGGCTTGGAGCTTGAAGTGATGGCTGAAATCTGAAACCAGGTCATCTCACTTTAAACCACTTGCTGGGCTGTGTCCTGAATTGACTCAGGAAGCTGTTTAGAGCTACACTGTGTAAGCACACTAGGGCTTTAAGGCCCATGGGGGCTGAAGCCATCTGAGGGACTTAGCTGAACTGGGCCAGGATGGATTTATGGATGCCCAATGTAGGGCCTCCAGACCACACCAGATCCATCTACAGGAGCCCAGGCTACTAGGGGTTTTACCACAGGGAAACATCCCCCCAGTCCAGGACACCGGAGTTGTCTCTTGGTCTCTAGTTGAGTAGGAAACTCTTCAAGGCTTCTGGTGGCTGGGTGATGTCCTGTGCCAAGCCTCCTAGGCTGTGCCCCACTGGAGGTCAGAAGTAGTCCTGGCCTGCATGTAGCAGTGGGGTAGCTCCCTGCTTTGTCCTTGCCTCATAAGTCACTGAGCCTGCTCTGTCCTGATCACTTTGCACCACATTTGATCGAGTTAACCTCTGAGCTGAGTGCTAATGGGGAACCAAGGAAGGCAAATGAAGCTGGAGTGTTGGGCGGGAGTCCTTCCAGGGCACCCACTCGCTGATAAACATGAACTCAGAGGGAGGTGGTGTCCTGCGCAGCTAGGTAAACTCCTAGCTCCGTGTGACCTGAAGCTAGCTGCTCAATCTGTCTGTGTCTCAGTCTGCTTATTCAAATAGGAACCACTGTGTTTAACTGCCGTAAGATGCATAGAGCGAGAGCATACTGTTGAGCATATGTAAGTGTTCAGCGGCACTGTCACCCAGTCCTCCTCAGGACCTCATAGCTTGTGGTGGGAGAGACAGGCTATAAAGATGTAGTCATACCACAGCTGTCTTCTGAGCCAGGGCATGTGTGGCCCCACTTTAACAGCCTTGAACAGCATCCTTGTCACTTGGGACTTCTTTGCAAGCTCCCTCCTAACTTTGAGATGGGGCTGGTGACTGTTGAAGCAAACTGTTTGGCATAAGCCCCTAGCCCCCCTTTTTTCTTTCCTCCACATTTCCTGGGAGTTGTCAGATCTGAGGTCAAACTGTCTACATTTCCAACCTATCTCTCTAAACTCCTAAAGGTGGGCTTATGCTTGTCCTTTGGCCCCACTGGCTCCAGCTTGCCTTCCCTGGCGGCTTATCAGCTGCTGACCTTGAGTAGTTCTGGCAGTCTGGAAACTCTCAGTCAGCCGATGAGGCCAGGGCTATGGTGCGTGCAGTTCCTGGCACATTGGAGTTGCTTGCTTTCATGGTGCATATGTATAGCCGTCACTTCATGTAGCTGCTTCGTGGAAAGGAGCATGTGTATCCAATGGCACAGGAGCCGGTGCCTAAAGGGTTACTTTTTAGGGTGACTACAGTTCATTCTCTACTCCAGCAAAGTGGGAGCTTGGTAGTAGAATCTGCTTACTTTGATTGTAGCACTTGTGAGAAATCTCATTACCAGCAGGGGATGCTCCTAGGAGATTAAAAGACACACCTGCTGAGCACACCAGCTCACAGCAAAAGGCTCTGATGAGTGACCAAAGCTTTTTGAGACACAAAGGAGTTGCATTCCCATTCACCTGCCGCCTGAGATTTGCTTGTCTAGCAGAGGGGGGAAGCTGATGATGTGGACCTCAGTTTTTTCTTCTATCAGATAGATGGGTCAGCGTTCCCATGCAGAAACTGTTAAATGAGAAGTCCATTTTGCACAGAAGTTATTGGCTGCCGGTAAGTAACTTCTTTCCTTTGCCTGTTATGAAGCTAATTATATCGAATCCTTATGCATGCATAATTCACAAATGCAAAAAGTAGATTTATGCCCTAGATTCAGTCTTAGCTCTTGGAACCTGATCTGTGAAAACAACATGGAGGCGACTACTGGGTCCCGTGGGCTCATCTGGAGAACACGTGTATATCCCAAGTGTGGCCGTGTCTCTCACTGCCTTCATAGCCACACCCTGGTACTGCAGACCTCGTCTTGTGGAACATTGCAGGGCTACTGGTGGTTTCCTACTTGCTCTCTCCATTCAGCAACTGGAGGAATTATGCATTAGAAATACAACTGAGTGCTGGCATGGTGCTGCACTCCTGTGATCCCAGCACTTGGGAGGCTGAGGCAGGAGGATTGTTTGTAAGTTTGAGACCAGCCTGGGCTACAAAGTGAGCCCAAGGCCAGCCTGAACTGCATAACAAGACCTTGTCTCAAAAAGGCAGAAAAAAAGAAAAGAAAAGAAATACAACTGTGTCAATTCAATAGCTTATGTTTGAAACAAAATCTTAAGTCTTTACTCTGACCATCAGGGTTCAAGGTGACCTGACCCCTGGCTTGCTCCAAATCTTGTTTTCTACATGTTTTATTCACTCTGCTGCTGTTTTATTCACTCCCTTGCTTCTTCCAATAACCTAATCCCTTTCCTACTGCAGGACCCTGGCACATGCTGTTCCTTTAGATTGCAGTGCTCTTTCCCCAGGTTCCAGTATTCCGCCCCTCATATTCTTTTAGGTCCTAATCAACCAGCTAGAACAACCTGCTTCCTGCCTGTACTTTTATCCTGTCATCCTACAGGGTTTACTACTCCCTACTTTATATTTATTTATTTAGTTTTTGCCTTTTTAAGACAGGCAAATATATGGTTCAGGCTAGCCTTGGACTTACTTTGTAGCCCAGGCTGGTCTTGAGCTTGCAGTGATCCTTCTGCCTAGCCTCCCGAGTGCTAGGATTACAGGAGTGTGCCACCACGTCTGGCTAACTCCCTACTTTGTATCTATCTATCTATCTATCTATCTATCTATCCATCTATCCATTACTTTGTTCTGTTATCCTCATGCGATTGACAGCTCCCCGAGGACAGGGACTGTGTGTGTTGTACTCTGTTCTGTCTCCAGTGCCTGAAATAGTCTCTGTGCTTTGTGGTTCCCAGGACATTTGTTGAACAAATGAAGACATGGGATGCTCAGGGCAAGTGTCTTGGTTACTTTTCTCTCATTGCTGAGACAAAATACCTGACACCCAAACTTAAAAGAGGAAAGGTTTATTTGGCTCACGGGTTATGGAGTTTTCAGTCCATAATCTGATGGCTCCGAAGCAGGGTGGCGTGGTGAGTGGCAACAGTTCATAGTGGTGGAAGAGGGCAAGAGCAGTAAGAGCAACAAGGGGTGCGCAAGCCTCTTTTCCTCCATTGTGTTCTAAGCAGCCTAACTGCCCTAGGGCGAGTCCTCTACACCCTAGGATGTAGAACTGGCAAGTCACTGAGTTAAGCCTGTAAACATCTCAAGTTGGCACAGTGATTAAGTCATTATAGCAAATCTGAGGTGGGTGGTCCAAAATTCCTAGGTGCTGCCTTCGGAGCAGGTAGGATCCTCTCAGAAAGAGGCACCTACCACCTTCCATTCCTTTCCTCCTTTCTTTCTTTTTTTGTCTTTTTGAAGCAGGGTCTCACTATGCAGTTCAGGCTGGCCTTGGACTCACTTTGTAGCCAGTCTGGTCTTAAAGGAATTCTCCTGCCTCAGCCTCCCAAGCGCTGGGAGGCTGCCAGGCCACCATGCTCAGCCCGTTCCTCCTTTCTGGGAATATCATCTTTGCTTGGTTTTCTGTCTGGGTTGCTCAGTGTCCCATGCCTCCTTCAGTGCCTTGGGATTCATGCTATCATTGTGACAGGTGTTCACTGAGATACTGACCTGAAACATAGCCTGGTGCTTCGCATATGGAAGGCCCTGGACCACTTTTCAATGTAGGATCTCTCTAACTGTTCAAAATCCTTCACTCTTCTCCATTTCCATCCCAGAGAAGATGGACTTGGGAAGTTGAGGCTAGTGCAGGTCATGAGTAGAGCTGAGGACCCAGAGTCGGCCACTAGATTACTTCCTCTGTGTGTGTGTGTGTGTGTGTGTGTGTGTGTGTGATCCTTTGTGTTAGAGTTGCAGCAAGATGCACATTGCCACGCTTGCTATTCTCCCACAAGCACACCACATGAACAGATGTGGAGGGTGGCAGTGGGCCCATAGCACAGGTCCATTGTGGATGTCTGGGAGAATGGACGTGGGCCTGGGCAGCCTTGAATCCATCTTTTTTTTCCCCTCTGACTTTTAAAACCCAAAGGATTCTAGGCTCACATACTTACAAGAATTTCCTGAAACAAAAGATGACCACACTCCCCTGATCCCTAGACCTGGGATGGTTCTGTGGATCACATCACCCTTTCCAAGCTGTGGTCACTAGGAGAAGACTTAAGTCCCCTGTTGCCTTGACTCTTGGCCATGTTCCAGGGGCCAGAGCTGGAACACAGTTGTCCTTGGGAGCATCTCCCACTGCCACCCTCTCTTCCCTAGGCTCTCCATCCTAACTGGTGTCAGCAGGTCAAGTACGTTCCTGAGATGAACATGGTGGTCTCCTGTTCAGCTGTTGACAAGTCCTCAATGGTGCTGACAATGTTGCCAGTCAAGGACCTGGAGAAGCCCAAGTAAGGAACATCTCTGCTCTAGTGGCGGCAATGGGGGTGGGGAAGATGGATGGGTGAGTGCACCTTAGGTTTTACTTGAGCCACATGTTGGGGTCCCCTGTAGAGTGAGGACCCACCTCCATGTTCATGACACCTCAGGAGGGCAGGGCAGAGTTCCAAGGATCACAGTGGACCCAGCGAAGCAGTGCGTGTCCCTGCTGATGGATAGAGTGGCTTGAGAATGAACTGTGGACTTTGATGTTAGTCATCACCCCTGCCACATGGCAGGAGTACAGTAGGTCTCTTTGGTCACCAGTTTACGTTCATAACTCAACATAGAAGCTGGCACAGAGGAAGTAGGTGGTCAAGTGACGTTTCTGAGTGAGGGAACGTACGCCAGTTGCTTTGACTCTGTGAGCCTCAGCTTCCCTATCTGTGGAAGGAACTGGGGTGACAGAACTTGCCTTACTTATTTAGGTAGTCCTTGAGTGACTAACACTCCATGGTGGTATGTGTCCAACAACTGTGTTCCTTGGAGATGGTTCTGATCTGTTTTGTTTATTCTCACTCCTTCTATTGCAGAGTTAACCTTTTCTTTTCCTTTTTTCTTTCTTTCTTGTTTTGGTGTTTGTTGAGGCAGGATTTTGCTCTGTAGTTCAGACTGGCCTTCAGCTCACTACATAGTTCAGGTTGGTTTCAAACTCACAGTGATTCTTTCACCTCAGCCTCCCAATGCTGTAATTACAGGTGTGTGCCACCATGTCTGGCTTCTTTTTCTTTCTTTCCTTTTTTTTTATTTTTCTGTACCAGGGATTGAACTCATGACCTCATGCTTACCAGGTAGGTGCATAAGCCACTGAGATATATCCCCAGGCCCCTTCCTTTTCTTTTTAAAATTAATTAATTATTTGCAGTGCTGGCGATGTAACCCAGGGCCTTGCATATACTAACCAAGGGCTCAATGGTAGACTTCTTGTACCCTGGACCTGTCTTTTTGCTTCTTTAAAAAAGTCAGTTATGAGCTGGGGATTTAGCTCAGCGGCATAAGCTCCTGCCTTGCAAGCAGGTGGTCGTGAGTTCAATCCTTGGTACTGATAAAAATGAAAAAGACAAAAAAAAAAAAAGTCAGTTATTAGAGCTAGGGATAGTGGTACATGCTTGTAATCATTTTTCTCAGGAAGCTGAAGCAGGAGGATCTTGAATTTGAGGCCAGCCTGGGCTACATAGCAAGTTCAAGTCCAGTCTAAGATACACAGTAAGACCCATATCTGTACAAACCAGTCAGTTATTAGCCGTACAGTACCTGTTAAATGTCTGTCCATGTAGAATTTAAAGCATCATAACCTCATCATGTAAGCAAAAGCCTCCTGTCTGTTATTTTATCTGGAGGGGCCTGTCTGCTGTGTCCAGCGTAGCTCAGGAAGTTCTGAGGGAAGGATGATGGGAGGGTGGAGGTATAAAGATAAGAGTCAGAATACAGAAAGCTAAGGTCAGGTGGAGCCTTCTTTCCAGTTGGGAGGAACGGAACTGCTCAGTGACCACCATGTGCTTGTTTATACATTGGGCAGGTTGATGTCATGTGACACTCCTCTGCCTAGCAACATGTTGGCTTGGCTTGCCTCAGGCACTTTTGTTCTCTGGACTGGGGTAGCTTGTTCACACGGCTCACTTACAGGACTCTTTGTTCTCAGGAGCAGCCTTGCTCCAGCACACATGTGTATCAATCTCCAGCTCTAGCCACTCCCCACATCTCTCCTTTTTCTGTTTGGTAGTTGCAAGCAATGGACGGTCAATTGAAGTTGGAGGAGCTGTGTTTGGAGGAGTCTGCAGAAGACCTTCTCCATCTTGAACCCTTTTATTCTTAGTGAACTTACTTATTTTGGCTAATGATTTCCTGTCCAAGGATTTTAAGTCCCTGCATTCAGTAATTTAAGCCTATGCAGCCCATTAATCTATTACACTAGTCAGTTATCAGTGTAGCTGGAAATTGCCAGAGGGTGTTAGTGATTTGAATTTCTTTTATAGCTAATTTATTACTATGGCATGATTTGATACCTCTTGTAGTTATACTTTTTTGCAGAATGTTCAAGACCAAGTTAAGGTGAGACCTGTATTAATTATAATTATTCTCTTGCTATCTATCAAGGTCAGTTAAGTCTCTTCAGGATTTACCTTGGAACCATGTATAGCACCTGTTAGTTCTTTTGTCAGTGTCAGCTGTCTGGGTGAGTCATGGCCATTGCTTGATCAAGTTGCTTTATGTGAAAGCTTGGAAGATTTTTCTCTCTTTAGTGGCTGTCCTTAGGCAATATACATTATTGATCATTTTCCTCTGTGGTCCACAATCCCCTTGGTCTGTAGTCTGGGACTCACTGAGTTGTAGGATGTTATAGCAGAGGTTCTCTTATGTCCTGGGTTCTCACTGACCCTGGAGGGTTGGGGCCAAAATATTGGCTGTCGGGGCTGGGGATTTAGCTCAGTGGCATAAGCACCTGCCTAGCAAGCAGGCAGTCGTGAGTTCAATCCCCAGTACTGATAAAAAGAAAAAAGAAAAAAAAAGTGTAAACAAAATATTGGCTGTCCTCCTGGCCTACTATCTTTCTGGTTTTTGGTCTCTTAACCCTAGTTGTTAAACATCCAGAAGAGAAGGTTAATGAAATTACATTGTATTGGGAGCAGTGCATTTAATATTATTAATATTATTTAATATTAAAATAGAACCATTATTTTCTACCAACTGTGAATGTTTTAGCATTTGAATCCCTATAGAATTTTTTTCTTTTTGATGGTGCTGGGGATTGAACTCAGGGTGTTACACATGCAAGGCAAGAGCTCTACCACTGAGCCACATCCCTAGCCTTCTCTGTAGAGTGTTAATAAACAATAGTTACATATTTTATACAGAAAATTAGAGATCAAAACCATACATAATATTGAAACATGACAATCTGATGGCTTCTTTGTAACCTACCTGGAATTTCATTTTGGTATAGAGAGTCCTCTTAGTCCCTATCTAGTACATATGAAACTTCTAACTTGTTGACCTTTTTTTATTTAAAGAAAGATAAAACAGAATAGAAAATGGGCAGAAATAGTGCATACTTTCAAAGAAAAGAAATAAACGGTAATAAATCAGTAGTTGATGTGTGTATATTGTCCTCCCACAAATAGTTGTTCAAGATACAAAAGTGGAACATATAAATGGGAATTCAACCAGGGAGACTGCAAATCGTTCTGTTCAACTATCCAACAAAAACTAAGTTAATATCAGTATCAATCCTATATACTTAGACATGTATGCATTTATCTATATCTTCGTTTACGTTGAGACCTAACAAAACTTATTAGATTAAAATCCTTCTGAACAAAGATTAATAATATTGCTGGATTTCACATCATAACACTCTGGAATCAGCACTGGGTACTGCAGTGCTCCTTTCTTTCTTTCAAAGTGTTTGTTCATTTCATCATGTGTCATAAGATCAGTTCTCATAAACTGTTTAAGGTTTTACACAAGCATGAGTCTTAACATGTATTTCTATCCTTTCTATATTAGAGGGAGAAACAGAAGAAAGCAGGACAGAACTAAACATATTCCTATAGATACATAAAACTAAAAAGACATATAGAACTGCTGTATAAGGAGTTCTACCATGGTTACTGTGTTGTTTCTTGTTATCATCAACTGAACTCGCTATATCATCAGATAAAGTAGAATTGAACATAGCAGTACATAGCAGAATTAACATAAATACAACTTTGTAGATAGTATAGAGCTACAAAAACAGGTAGTAATCAAATCAGAATGGATATCATAGTGAATCATTGACATTTTCAATATAGTTGTCTATACTCCTCAACTTGATACCAGCAACCTCACAGTTTTGAATAAAATCTGTCAATAGTAAGCAGCAATCAAACAAGTCAGATTTAACTAAGATCAGTCATGATACAACAGTATAAGTCATACAGGGATCCTAATTGAGTTAATAGGAAATTAAAGATGACCACTGTGCTTTGTCCTGATACTGTTCGGACAGTTGTCTGTGCCCTCAGATCCAGTGCTTGTATACAAACTAGGATGGAACAAATTCCAACCAAGCAGAGTGGTGCGAGTAATAGGGGTTTTAATTCCTGATACACTATTACCTATATCTTCTGCTGTTTTTTTTGAAGACTATTCCTCCCCTTTACTCCCCCAGAATGAACTGTCTATTTTTGGGTCTCCCCATCGCTCTAAGTTTTATATTGGGGGGGGGCAACCTGCTATTTACCTAAGTATTTCTGAACTTTCTCACTCCTGGGCTGGATTTCTAGTTATATTTCTTCATTTATTAAAGCCTGTCTGTTCGACCTATCCACAAATACTGGCCCAGTTACCCCTATTACTCTCTGGTTCCCTATCACATCGAGTTCCATTTTCTCATATTTGATTTTGGCCTATATAACCTTCTTCAGGCAATTATATTTCCTATAAAGAGTCTCTCAGTAGACCCTACCTCTTGATCTACTCTGCCTGCGATTCTTTCTTTTTTCCCTTAAGTTAGTGTATTTAGGCCATCCATATTAGAAATTATATCCAACCTTCTTTGCCTCCTTTCTGTTGTGCTCTTTTTCTGTCATTAGTTGTCTGTTTGTCTTTTTCATTTCGCTTTCTGCTCCATTCATTGTGGCCTCTCTGCCATTGTTTCTGGAATTCTGGTACTTTTCTCTCTCTTTAGAATGTCCTGCAGTATTCTCTGTAGAGTTGGATTGGTGGTTGCGAATTCCCCTAGTTCCTCTTTATCTTGGAAGCATCTTGTTTCTCCATTAATTTCTAGGGACAGTTCTGCAGGATATATCAATCTTGGCTGGAGGTTATTGTCTTTCAAGGCTTGGATTATTCCCCCCGACCCATGCTCTTTGAGATTTGATGATTTGTGCCGAGAAGTCTACTGTAATTCTGATGGGTGTTCCCTTGTAAGTGATCTGTTTCTTGTCTCTGACAGCTTTTAATATTATGTTCTTATATTGGTTCTGGA